ACTTTACAGATATTTCAATAGGCAGATAAAAGGAAAAAAATCACTCCATAGTTCCATAATTTCTGCAGAGCTACACTTACTTTTATGTATTTCCTTCTCTTCCCATGTGTATTTTTCTTTCCATGAATGTTTTTCTATAATTGCAGTAAGGGGGTATATATACTTGCCTATATATAAACTTCTTATTTTGGAACAATTTCAGATTTATAGGAAAGTTGCAAAGACAGTGAGTTCTTATATACCCCTCATCCAATTTGTTTTTGCTAATGTCACCATCTTACATCTTTCAAGACTAAGAAACCAACATAGTACATTGCTTTTAACTAAACTCTAGACTTATTCAGATTTTACCGGTTTTGCCAGTAATGTCCTTTTTTTCTGTTCCAGGATCCAATCTAGGATAGCACATTGCATTTAGTCGTCATGTCTCCTTAGGCTCTTTTGGTCTGTGATAGTTACTCAGTCTCGTTTTTCATGACCTTGATAGTTTTGAGGAGTACTGTTCAGGTATTTGGTAGAACGTCCCTCAAATTGGGTTTGTGTTATGTTTTTCTCATGATTAGACTGGGGCAATGGATTTTTGGAAAGAATACCACGTGGCGATGTGCCCATCTCATCACAGGGGTGCATAATATCCAAACGGCACCCCTGGTGATGTTACCCTTGATCACTTGGTTAAGGTAATGTTGGCCAGCTTTGTCCACTGTACAGCTGCTATTTCTCCATTTCCATGCCCTTTTTTAAAAAGCAAATCACTAATTCCAGTCCACCCTCATGGGGAGAGGGGATTAAGCTCCACCTCCTGGAGGGGCATAGGATTTACATATATTGTTTGGAATTCTGTCAGGAAGATTTGTCTCTTCTTCCCAATTTATTTATTTATTCAATTCTTTATTTATTAGTATAGACTCATAAATATTTGACATAAACTTTTTCTCTTTTGTTTCATATAACATTGTGTTATAAGGTTTTTTTCATGTTACCATCCTGGTCTTTATAACCATCATTTTAATGATCGCCATCTACTTTTGGATATTTTCCATTAACTTTGTACTCTCATAAATTATGCTTCTGTAAACATCTTTTGAAACAATGTTCTACGATTCTTTGTATTCCAGATCTGGCCTGGTGTCTGGAATACAGAAACATAGTATATATTCAATAGATGTTTATTTGGGATGGATGGATGGATAGACGAATGAATAAATAAATGAATGAATGAATGCTGGGCTGGCAATGTAACTCAGTAGCCCTTTTTTTTTTCCCCTGCTGAACAGTCTTCTCACTCTTGGCCTATGAAGATCTCAAGTCTAAGTTAAATGTTGAGAAGTTTGAGAACTTGCTGGAAATCAAGCTTTGGCTTCCTGTGAACCACACCTAGTTTGTAATAAACAAAGAACCTCAGAACAAGTAAAGATTCTGTACTGTAAGCTATTTTTTTTAATCTCTGATTCGAAAACATTTGGATATTCTATCAACTTCAGCAGTCTTTCACACAGCTTTATCATTCTTCTCTCTGCTTACCTTGTAGACATAACAATTTTTAAATACCTAGGGTATTTTTAGGACATAGAAATATCTTTGTATCTCCTGGTTTAGTCCCTGGCAAGGAAAAGCTGACAGTTTAATAATAAAGTGAGTGAAGTACATTTGGAATGCTATCTACTCTAATAATGGCTGCTGGACAAAACAAAACAGAAACAGTCGCAGACAAAGCTGAGGGAGGAGAAGGGAGATGAGGACATTTTCATCACTTCAAGACTTGGGAAAGTAATCACTGTAGATATTTGCTGGCAAGAAAAGAGATAAGAAAGCTAAGACGGGAGGTAATCAGAGGCAAGGTCAGAACAATCCTGTCCCATGTCCTACAATGTACTTCTGATCATTCTTTTTCCCACTGACAGGCAGAGAGGGAAAAACTATCAAGAACAGAATGTTTCCCAAGTGGTTTTCTCACTCTCCAGGAAGGGTCATGTCTATTTGTTGAACCCAACTATTATGAATAGTTGAACCCACACAGACTCTGAAGGCATGGGTACCCACAGAATGGTCTGTAGTAGAGTCCCCTGTGGATCCCTGATCTGGGGAAAAACAGCAGGGACACCCTAAAGACAAATTGTGCAGTGAGACTGGAGAGCCCCAGGGTCAGTTGGCTTCATATTCATCTCAGATTTGTGTGAGTTGAGGCTCTTTAGGTTGGAAGAAATCAGACCTGCTCCTGCTGGTAGTAAAAAGGTGAAGAACAGTCATTACAGAGATCCATGTGGCAAAGAGGAAAACTGACTAAATTCATCCGACTACAGGACCCCAATATGGGTTGACCCTGTCAGGGCCTCCTTTCTGCCTAAGACCTCAGCATGGGTTCTTCTGGCTTAATTTGGAAGGGCTCGTGTGGGGTCTTTGGGGATATCATTGGGATTTTGCAGAGGGAACACTAATGAGCTTAGGGTGATTAAAGAGGACAGGAAGGACCACTGCTGTAGCAAAGGCAATCCTTGTCAGGAAAGACCCTCGAAGGGTCATTTCATCTGTCCACTTGCCTCCACATAGAACAGGCAATTCCTTACATTCATTCATTCACTCCATTCATTTACTTGTTTGTTTGTTCTATTTGGGAAAATACTAAATAACAAGATTGTGTGAGAAGTGCTCTAACAGGAAGTTTAGAGAGAGTGCCAAGGGCTCACAGTGGGTGGGTACAGTAGAATGCAGGCAGGGAACGCTGTGATATAGCTGAGTTCCTTCTTTAAAAGAGGAAAGATCAAGGTGTATTTAGGAAACCGCTAGTAGTTCAGGGAGTGGCAGGAGATCAGGCCATGAAGCTAAAGTGTGGTCATGTATTGAAGGTCCTTTACATGCCAGGAGAAGAAACCAAACTTTATGGGGAGAGAAATACTGGTGAGTTTTAGGCAGGGGAGTATGACTCCACAGTAATGCTTTCTGTCCTTCCCACTGCTCCAATCTCCTTATTCCCACTATGGAGGGCAATCTGGCAACATTCATCAAAATTACAAATGCACGAATCTTTTATGCCAGCCATTCCACTTTGGATAATTTATCCTACGGATATGCTTGCACCCATGTGAAATGACATATGACCAGGTTTTTCACTGTAGCGTTGTTTGTATTAGTAAAAGATTGGAAACAACTTAAATGTTCCTCAATAGGTAAATGGTTGAATCCATTATAATCTATCCATATAATGGAAAATGTACAGCTATAAAAAAGAATATAGAAACTCTTCATGTAGTGATATAGAAAATTCTCTACGATATACTGTTAGGGAGAAAAAAAGCAAGAGACAGAAATGTGTATACAGTATGCTAGTTTTTAAAGAAGTGTGAAGAATAGGAGATATATATATATATATATATAAAATTTGCTTGTATTTGCATAAAGAAACTCTGTAAGGATAAAAAGAAAAGTCACGAGTGGCTACCGAAGAGGGTGAGGCAGCAACAGGACACATGGCTACAGAAATGGGAGGGACTTTTCATTGTATATCTTTCTGTGGATTTTAAGCATGTGAATGTATCAGAAAACTACATTTAAATATTAAATAAGGAAGAAAGAAAGAGAGAGGGAGGGAGAGAAAGAGAGAGAAAGGGGAAGCTCTGTTTTTCCCTTTACCTCTGCAGGCCTCATTCTTGCTTTTCACCTTGTCAGGAAGTTTCTTTTGGTTAGCTCTGTGGTTGAGGGCTTCCAGTGGTTAAGAGAGACATATACAACTCTTCTTTTAGACCTTTGTGTAGACAGACCCATTGTTGGCATCTAGGTTGAATTTCTTTCTTCAGTTTCTAAGTAGAAACAGGCTGGGAAGTGAGGGGCAGAGCAGAGAGAGGTGGCTTTTACTTCCCTGTTTGCCCCTTACCACTGCTAGTGCTGTTTTGTGCTTGCTGTGGAAACAGGAGCTTGAAGGCGAAGCCAGGAGTCTGGCTGTTCCTGCAGTGGGCCAGTGGGAAAATAAAACCATTTGGGAACTATAGGCATCACTGTTTAAAAGGAAAACAGGTGAGAAATTGCAGAAGCCGTGAGAGAAAAGGACAGGACTTTCCTAGGGCTTGTTGCCTAATGGTTACAGGATATCTGTGCTGTGCTATGTTTCAGGCTTGAGTCTTACTGGTCTGCTGTAGCCTCTTGGAGGGCTGGTCACTAAAACTCCCACCTACATCCTAAGAACTTTCTGACCATGCAAGGTTTCTGTTAACACAGGAACTCTCACCTCGCTGGCCTGGTATTAAGTGTACATCCAAAACCAGAGCACAGCTCTCTGCTTTCCGTTCCTCCCCCAGAAGAAGTCCACAGAATTGAGGGAGGCAAGGGTATATGCAAAGCACATCCTCGTGTTCTCCACGCTCTTAGAATACTAGTGCTAGGTAGATTCTTTTTCCTTTTTATCATATTCATCTCTGATCCCAAGAACGTCAAGCTCACAATTGGAATGCGTGGACCATCTGGCAGCTGCTTCACTAAAGCTTTAAAAGCAAACAGTTTGATACCCTGGAGATCAGAAATGGGAGAGGACTGTAGTTGACCAGGTAGAAGAGCCAGCAGGATATGGTGGTGGGCATATTGATCCCCTTCTCCCATCCTCTAGGCCAAACGTTCAAAGGAAAAAGGAAGTAGGGTTGGGCCTCACTTTAACCAGGATGCTATAAAAATTATGCCTACTCTTTACACCATTAGAGGGTATAGTAAACCTACAAACATTTGGGGCCACAGAAAATGATGAATAACAAAGTCAATGCCGGAAAGGATGAGTGCCCAGCTCACAGTTCCCCTTTCTTTGTGGTGTACCCCCAATCCTCAGTAGGGAGTCCCCAGCACAGCCATAAGTCTACTGTCTGGCCTGCCTCGCTGGCAGCAGACTCAAGAGGATGGCAAATCCTGCAGCTGAGGTTCTAGAGCTGCCCTGGTCTCTGCCCTTCCTGAAACTTAGTTGTTAACTTTCCTTGGATTCTGTAATGTATCCCAGCATCTTTCTAATATCTTGCCCCACTCCCCCACCCCCAGCCTTTTGCTCCCTGCTTAAAAATGTCAGAGTCAGAACAAAACATTTGGAATTTATCTTGTTTTTAGAGGTTTTGGGCTAATGAGGTGACAGTGACAGTGCTATGCCACACCCTCATCCAAACGAACATAATTCCTCTCCTGAACTACCGCAGCCATCTCCTTAGGATATCTACCGCTTCTACTCTTGTTTTACTCTATTTTCTGCAAAGCGGATGCTGACATTTTAACCAGATCACTCACTCCTCTGATTAAAACTCTTCAATGGCTTTCCAATGTTCTCAGAATAAAATCTAAAATCTTTGGTGCCCCATGTTCTTACAATACAATCTGAAATTCTTAGTAAGTCCTTCTTGCAGTTCCTTGCCCAAACTCCTTCTGTCTTAGGACCATCAGTATATGCTAGTCCCAGTCTGGAGCCCTTTTCTCCCTACTCTGAGCCTCATTTTGGGGGTCTTGGTGGAAGTATCACCTTCTCAGGGGCCTTACTTCTCTCCAATCTAAATTAGGTATCCTTGTTATTTATTTTTTTAACTGCATTGACTCTTTTTCTTCATAGATATTACAGCTTGTAATTACATATTCACTTTGGTAACTTTGGGCAATGTCTGTCTCCCCCACAAGACCCTGAGTGCCTTAAGGGGCAGGGACTGTCTCTGTTTTGCTCCATGCGATAGCCCCAGAGCCTAGCACAGGAACCAGCACACAGTAGGTACCCAAGTATTAGACGGATGATTAAATAGGAAGAGACGGCAGTGGCTGGCGATGGTTGAGATTTAAGATAAGAAGCTGAAATTGCGTGCTAGTGGTAGAAAAGGAATGAGGTACATTTACTTTAAAGAGAAAAATCAACATAACTTGACGACAGGGGGTGGGGAAGGAGATAATGCTTTCCCAGCCAAAAGTGCCACCTGACTCAGAGAGGAAGAAACTAAATTTTCAAACCGGGGTGACTAATGGTTAGGTTTGGGGAAATATGATACTTATGTTGGTTTTAGACATACTGGTTGGAGCTAAGCAAGGGACATCGAAGGGGGAAGTGTTCAGAAAGTTGCAGGGTAGAGCTGGAGCTCCAGCGGGCCAGGAGCATGAAAGAGAAACTCAGAGCTGGTTGTTCACAGGAGTGGGAACTGAAGCATCTAAGACAATTCATATGTTGTGGAGAGGAAGATTTACCTCGCTTTAAGCGACAGCTACACCAAGGGGACAGGTAGGGGGCACACCCCGTGCATTGGAAAATGCCACAAAGTGCTTCATACACAAAGACATAGAAATCTAGAGAGGTGAAGTGATCTGCTCAAGGTCACACAGCAAGTCAGTGACAAAGCATTCCAATCTATTTTTCCTGACTTGTAAGGTCCAGTTTTCTTTGCATTAATATACAGAAACTTCCTGAATTTTCAGACACGCCTGCTTTATAGTGGACACTCCATACCAGTTCCTGATAGTCAAGGCAGGCAAATAAAAGGCAGAATTTCATTTCCTTAGTTTATTAATGACGACAATGAACTGTCAGGCTGTGTATGAATTATAACAGGTAGAAACCTAGTTCGGAACACGAGTTGTACACACCCCAGAACATCTCCATTTAGACTCTTGCTCCTTTTATGTTAATTCAACAGAAGCTCTAAAGCTTTGGTAGAGAAAGTCAATAACAGCCTCATTTAAGTGGAAAATATTTGCCTTCCACTCTTCTGCTATGTCTTAAATCTTGTCTCCACCTTGTAAGCAAACTTCTTTTTCCCTTTATTTCTAGAAAAAAACACTTCTTCCTTCCCATTTCATTCAGAAGGAACTCTCTTCAGTGCATTCAAAGCTTCTCCCCACAACAGCAGGGATTTTCAGATACTGATAAGTTGCAAAGTGCTTTCAAAAAGCCCCATCCTCTTTCCTCTCCCCACCGACTCTCAAATAAATAAATAAATGGGTATTTGGACAGTGATGACAGCACAGTGTCAGGGTCACTAAAACAGATATGCAACCTAAAGGGATGCGGTGAGAGAGGTGGAGAAAAATAAGTGAAAAACCAGGAGGGTGAGATTGTTGAGCCCAGCTTTAGAAACAATGTCAGCATCTTCCATCCTTTGATCCTATGCTATATGAAACACACACGACAATAATAAGGGTATATCTCTCCTCCAGTGTAGTGACTTGGAGTAAGGAGCTAGACGTGTAATTTAAACCAAAAGTGGAAGTAGAGCTCACCATCTTCACAAAGCCCTTAGTCTGAATCCGAGGCCTAATCCTCAGTGAGACTTGAGTCTCACAGGGTCATTCCCAAAGCTCCTTGAAGGACAAGGGAGCTTCTAGCCCGCCCTTCAAAACTGGGCTGGGCTGGAGGCCTTGGCTTTCACAGCCCCTCCGCCCCACCCGCGAACTGAAGGGAGAACAGCCTGAAGTAGCCTTCAGATCCCAAGTCTGAAGCAGAGGGACCAACACCAGAGGTCAATTCCTCCCCGCGCCCTCTTGTCCTGGTGGAGCCTCAGCTCTGGCTATTACTTTACTGCCCCTTCGACTTCCTGTGAGACTCCTGGTTGCCTCCAACTCAGGCACTCATCAGCTTCCACCAACCATGTGCAACTTTCTGTTCCGCTTCCTGGGGCAGCACCCACAGCAAGTTTTTCTTACAAGCAACCAACTATGGAAAGACAGGCATCCAGGAAGAAGTCAGTCCCAAAACAAAACTGCTCTGGGCTTTAGTTCACAGAGCTGCCAGCCCTCAGAGCAAGTGATCCTGACCAGTGTTTTACACACAGGTCAGGAAGTACAGCAACTTAAAGAATATGACAAACATATACTCGGTCCCAGCAAAAACTTTTCCCATCAAAACACACATTAAAAAAGGGTGTGTGTGTGTGTGTGTGTGCGTGTGTGTGTTAAAGTTAGTAATAAGAAAAGGATGAGTGAACATATGAATATCACCAGGCTAAAGAGTAGCAAGAAGCTTTTTCCTCAACTTTGACAAAAGAAACTAACGCAAGAGATCAGCCACCAGGGAGGGTCCCAGCTGTGCTTCAGGAGCGGAGGGAGAGCACGGAGTTGGGCCAGGCTTCTACTCAGAACCACACTGGCCACCTAACAGAGGACACAGTGGCAAGAGACCCACTGATAAAATGGTGGATGGGGTTTCTGTCCTCAGTTTAGGATGGTGTCAGGGACTTGCCTGAGCTTGAAAGATCCAACCTGCACCAGAGCTATGTTGACTAAAAGGGACCTGATCACCTAAGAGGAGGCCAACAGCCCCTCTGACTGAATAAATGCTCCTTAAACAACAGGGTTGTAGCGTCAGTTATGCTAGAAATGGGCCTGGTCTAAGTATCAGTTCTGTTCTTCGTGTCAAGTCCCCCAGGGTAGATAAAGAAAGTCAGGCTGTGACATCATCTATGCCTAGAATATTTCAAACAAGGAAGTCATCACTGCCTCCTTGAGGTCTCTGAAAATTCTAAGGTAGCAATAATGCTGTTTTTATGGCCTCAAAAACACCTAAATAAGAATGCCCATGATGTAGTCCCATTCTCTGCTGCTTCTCCTCAGGGCAGTCTGACCCTATTCCAGGACTGGGAGAGAGAAAACTCCATCCTCCTGTTTCAGCAGCAAAGGAGAAGTGAGTTCGCTGAGAAAGGCCTGGCTCAGAAGCTCCAGAATTACAACAAAATAAAACTGGAAATGATACTTGAGATGCAGCTGAAACCAGATCTGGTCCAAGTGGAGAAGGCCATGGATGTCGGAAGAACTGGGTCTCCCTGTCCATTTTCCTGACAGAGGCACCAGAAGCTTCACTTAGGGACCCATGTGTCAGTTCTGATGGAAATACTTGGTACCTATAAATTGTCACAACAGACTGGACCCCACCAACCTAAATAAGGTTGACTGTACATGGACATTAAACAGGTCGTAAAAATTAATAATGATGATAATAATTAAAAAAAAAAAACAAGTGGGGAAAGTCCTTAAAAAGGTGGCTCAGTTCTGCACTTTGTGTGACCCTAGCCCCTAGGAAGAGCGCTTTACGTGCTTTCTTCAGGTGGTCTCCAGGATGGCGGCCTCCAGGGCCAAGGCCTCGGTGGGTTCTTCCTCAGAGTCTGACATGTAGGACTCCAGGCTCTGCTTGGCCAGCAACTCCCGCCGGGCCTGCAGCCGCTCACAGCGGGGACAGCTTCCAGACTTGAAACAAGCTTTATGGTAACACGCTTTACACTCTATTCAAGTTGGGAAGGGGAGAGAGAAAAGAACAATTTGTATTATCTCGAACTGGAAGCAAGTCGCCGCCGTAACCCTTCTCACACCACGGCTTGGTGCACCTGTGGGGAAACACAGGGAGCTGCTGAACCAAACCAAACTCTTACTAATAGGGGTGGCTGACGGGAAATAAATGAGCCTTGTGTTCTGTCTTGTTTGCCCACCCCACACCGGGCACCAGCCCTCACCTTCACAGGTCCGGCACTTATGGAGCTCAAAGGGAAAGATGATGTCATCCGCATTCTGACAGAACTCACAGATGAAGCCCTTGGCTTGGCAGAGCTGGAGAGGAAAGACACAGGCAGCAAAATGAGGCAAAGCACACCACAGGAACTGGCCAAGAGGGTGAACACAAGCGAGGGGAGGAGCAAAATATAAATAAGTCTTGAGGGACTCGAACGTGTTCTCCCACCTTCAGGAAAGAGACCCAGGCTGGACTTAGCATGATAGCCAAACTGGGGCCAGGGCTGGGCAGTGTTGCCGGGCAGTGTTAGACAAAGCTTTAAGGTGAAGACAAGAGAGGCATGAGTTTGAGAAACTCCAGTCGTGAGAGTGGTTCTCAAAGAAGAGATGAAAAGAAGGAACAAAGGGCTTCCTAAAGTCAAAATTCCAGCCTGGGTAATGATTTAATTTTGAAATAGGAAACACAACCAATTAAGGTAAAATGTAAAGGCAAGTACAGTTCTCCAAAATAACACCCAGCCTTGAGTCAGGTTACAGTGAAGTCTTTCCAATGCCCCCTGCTACATGGGACTTCTACATATGCCCTATTTTAAGCTCTAATTCTGGGACTGTTACAGGAACACAAACTGGACATATTCTAAGATGGGAAATTCTAAATATGGAATTTATGAATTTCTGGTATGTTGGATACATCAAGAACAATGATAACTTGCATCTACAGAATACTTAAGTTTACACAATGCTTCCACATAAATTATTTCATCAATCCTCAAAAATACTGAGAGGAAAGGACAGTGGGTATTAATCATTATCTCCATTTTAGAGACAAGAAAATTGAGGCTTACCTCAGAGAGGGCAAAGTATTTCCTTTGATCACAGTGATTGAAAATGATAAAGCCAAGACCCAGTCCCTCTCCAGAATCTAATCCAGGGTCCTCCTCTCACATCATGACAATTCTTTAGTGAAGGCCTGCTTAGCCCTGCCCATTTCCTAGGAGAAATGCCAGCACCAGATCGTCTTCTAATTCTAGGTTCCTTAGAGCTGGATGATTTAGCTGTTCAGCAACCCAGGGAAGAGCAATCCTGTACAGTTTTTCTCACAGTGTTGACAAGCCAATTCAACTTCCTGGAACTAAATGCCAAGAACCCTGGATGCACGCTACTCTCGGTGTCCCTAAGCAAGGGCCCAGCAGCACGTTAAAGTGAGAGTTTCTTACCATGCATCGCTCTACGTGGGCAGCCCCCGCCCTGGTGAGGTCAGCGAGCCGGGGCCCCAGCTCTCCCTTCCTGGCTGCAGTCAGGTCATTCAGCGAGTACAGGTGGAGATCCTCTGTCAGGTGGCCTGGAACTGTGTCAAAGGAGTCCAGAAGCCTGCAGGAAATGAGGGGAAGTGGGTGGGAGCTGAGAACGAACACTTTGTGTGGCACATCAGGGCAGAAGGATTTCTATCCAGAAGCAGGATAGGGAAGAAAAGCGTCCTAGGCAGAGTAATGAGGGTGGGTAACATTCAGCCAGCCCAGGCCACCTCAACCCTCCATACCACCAGGTGTCTGGAGGGCAGAAGTGACTTTTACGCCCTTCTGTAGTGATGCATGTCAGCCTGCAAAGAGTGGTGGGCCTGCCCTGGGTAGAATAACCAGATCTCCCCTTCCAGAGAGAGGGACACAGACACAGTTACTGCTGTAGGCTTCTCATTGACCATTTCTGGAATTTTCTGCAAGATCCCCCTACTCTCCTGCTTCACATAACAAGGGCCAAATGCTAGGACATGTTTCTTTCAGAGACATTAGCTCAGCCAGAGGCCTCTGGCCTCCACACAAGACTTACTCTTTGGCCAGTCGGCACGTCTTGAACATATTCTTCATGTGACACAGCTGGACCCGCAGCAGCTGAAGAGAATGGCATTGTGGTGGTAGGTGGGGAGTCAGAGGGGTGTAAAGAGGAGAGAAACCACCGTTAGAAAGGCCAGTACCTTTAAACCCTGCGTGTCTGGAGGCTTTGCACGAGGCAGCCAGAGCCAGACTGTTCTCTATACCTGTAACTCGACAACTCGCTTCAAAGGCACCCCCAGTCAGGGCAAGGCCCTCTGCTAGGTCAGTCTGCCCAGATCACATACACAGCTGGGAGCTGCTGAGAAGTCCAGAATCCGAACTTCCAACCCGACACCCCATTCTCCGTTCAGTAACATTTTCAGGGAAGGGAGAAATCCTGCTTTTGCCATCGTTATCTATAGCTTTCAAGCTGCCTTGCCAGGTTCGAGACTCTAACTAGACAGATACCTCGAAAATGGCATGAAGAAGTACGTAGAGAAAGTGAGAATGATGAGATGGTCACAGCGCTACCATAGCGACAAAGAGGAGTGTGGTGATATTGGGCAACCTCTATGAACAGAGGGTAATCTACGACGTGACCTTTTCAAGGGTCTTACCCGGACTTGATTGAGCAGCTTGACCTTCCTATAGAGGGCACTGTTGATGTCCTGCACATTGAAGAGAGGATCGTTCCAGATCTTAATGAGCAGGTCCTTGGAGAAGTTGCTGACGTAGTACTTGCTGAAGTCCCACTTGCGCAGAACTCGGCTGGGGATAACCATCTGGGCATTCTCGTGGCAGCACTGACAGAAGTACTTGCCCAAGTACTCGCAGTACCGCAGCCGCTTGATGTAATCTGAAAACGACGGAAAGTCAGAAGGTCAGAGGTGGCTTTCCCATCTATAAGCTGGTGAGGCAGCCCGGCTGTTCCTTTTGAAAGAGGAGGAAGGGATGGCCAGTGGGCTCCAGCCACCTCTGTTTGAGCTCCCAAAGCTGCCAGAAACCGACACAGTGGGGCCTGTAGTTTCTGTGTCCCAGCCTGGAGGCCGCTGAGGAAACAAGTGCTGCCGGAGTTGGGAAGATCCAGCCTCCAAGGACCTGGCTGAGGGCACACAACGTTCTCCAGGGCACAATCCTGGTAATGGGCTCCCAGAAATCATTGCCCTCTGATTACCAGTACTGCTGCCTAGTAGTACCCCTTTCCGTCCTCCAGGCCTCTTCTTTCCCTTTCCCCAGTTCTGCTCTGTCACCTCCTCTTACTACTTCTCTGACCAGCTCCCTCGCCCAGGTGTGTGACAGGGTAAAGCCCTTGGAGGCAGCAGGGGAGGTCAGAGAAGACGCTCACCAGGGTCACTCCGGATGCCACATCCTGCACAGCGGTAATTCTGCTTGGCCACAGCGATTTTCCTCCTGAGGAAACGGGAAGGAGAGGGGATTGGCAGATACCAGCTGCATGAGGTCTCTGAGACGTAAAGGATGGGGATACAAATACAGGGCTCCAATAAGGATGGGAAGAGAGGGGAATTCACCTATTTTTTTAGAGTTGGACAAAATGAACCTATTGGGAGAACCAATTTAAACCAAGGATTGTAAGGTTAGAATTTAGGTCTAGGCAGTGACTCTCCCCAGTAATGAACCACACTTTCTGTACAAATGTAAGAGGTGAGAAATAGTAAAGAGGAGAGCACAAAAGGAAAGAAAAGCATCCATCCATCTTGAGGAAAAAAAAAAAAAAGCTCATAAAACTATTGGGAGGAAAGCAGTAGGTTGGGAGGCCAGTGGTAAAAGAGCTCATTTCTGGGGCTTCCCTGGTGGCGCAGTGGTTGAGAGTCCACCTGCTGATGCAGGGGACATGGGTTCGTGCCCCGGTCCGGGAAGATCCCACATGCCGCGGAGCGGCTGGGCCCATGAGCCATGGCCACTGAGCCTTCGCATGCAGAGCCTGTGCTCCGCAACGGGAGAGGCCACAACAGTGAAAAGAACCATGTACCGCCGAAAAAAAAAAAAGACCTCATTTCTGGTTAGCTCTGGGAAGGAATGGAAGGACTAAGAGTAAAACTCGCAGACAAGGGACTTCCCTTGTGGTCAAGTGGGTAAGACTCTGTGCTCCCAATGCAGGGGGCCCAGGTTCGATCCCTGGTCGGGGAACTAGATCCCACATGCATGCCGCAACTAAGAGTCCGCATACTGCAACTAAGACTCGGCGCAGCCAAAAAAAAAAAATAAAAAATATTAAAAAAAAAAAACTCGCAGACAAGTAGGTAACTCTCTCCCTCTGCCTTTTAGAATTGTATGGGAGGTACAGCAGCAGGTAGGGACAATAGGGTGAAAAGAAGGCTCTGACAATCCAAAGAGAATGTATCTGTTTGCCAAATGGCACGGCCACTGACTACTCACGTTGGGGCTGGATGAACATTAAAAATTATCTGAGGCCGGGGTGGGGCCCACTCCAGGTTGCCTCGAACACGAATACGTAGTTTGTAGATGTCAGCATGCTGCCCGTCATCTGGTGAGATGGGCAGTGAGTCAGGGATGGGCAGAAGCTGCAGAAGAAAAGCACAGGGTGATCCACTACGGACAATCTGGGGGAATACATATGCTTGACCCTTCTGGCCATGGCAGAAGCATAATTAATGAAAGCCGTTTCAGGAACACCATAAGCAAGGGCTTCAGGGAACCTTGGCCCTCGAAATAAATGATAAGGCACCAGGCTACTAGAAGTGAGGGTCTTGGGTTCCAAGAATCAAAAGGAACAGAAATGGCATCCCAGTGTGGTAGCACCCCTTGATAATGCTGTCCCTGAATCCAGCCCGGGACCCTTGGTGTGCCAGGGTGCTTCATGCCTTATTCAACTGCAGAGCAAAGAAGAACCTGAATAGTTCACTTTTCCAGTGTCTCAAGGTGGTCACAACACAGGAGTGCTGCCCCCGGGTCTAGTGAGCAGTCATGTGGAATAAGGACACTGGAGGAGCCGTTATCTCCTATCCTGACGATGGCTAGGGGAAACCTAGGCAAGCGTGCACGCATTCCTTCATTTATCCGACATACATTTGTAATGAATGGCTTCTAAAAGTAAGGAAGGAAACATGGAGGCTCATTCTAAACTGGAGACGTGTAATAAAGGAGAACAATATCAGAAAGGCTCACAGCCTCCTGGGGCTCGACGCTGGGTGGAGAAAAAGACTTGAAGAATGTACCTTCTGAGGGGCATCGTGCTCTGGAACAAGCCACTCTAGCTCTGAGGCGGCTGGGAGCTGCATCCCCTCAAACTGCTTCAGGAGCCCCATGGCCACTGCCTCAGCAGACGTGGAGTGTAGGAAGCAGTGAGAGCTGAAACAGAGAGTCAAGGAAGACTGAGCATAGAGAAGAGACAGGAGGATGGGAGCCCTAACTTCAGGACCCAATACCATACACACTGATTTATGGACTGAGAGAACACTCACAGCACCCCCAGTCCACTCAGCTTCCTTTCTTATCATCCTCAGACATGTGAGTAGAGAGCAAAATACACAGGTCCACACATAGTTTTAAGACTTAGGCTCAAATCCCACTGCTACTTAAGAATTCTGTCAAATCCTTTCTCTAAACTTCACTTTCTTTTTTTTTTTTTAATTAATTAATTTATTTATTCATTCATTTATTTATTTATTTGTTGGCTGCGTCGGGTCTTCGTTGCTGCGTGCGGGCTTTCTCTAGTTGCAGCAAGTGGGGATTACTCTTCGTCGCGGTGCGCGGACTTCTCATTGCGGTGGCTTCTCTTGTTGTGGAGCATGGGCTCTAGGCATGCGGGCTTCAGTAGTTGTGGCTCACGAGCTCTAGAGCACAGGCTTAGTAGCTGTGGTGCACGGGCTTACTTGCTCCGCGGCATGTGGGATCTTCCCGGACCAGGGCTCGAACCCGTGTCCCCTGCATTGGCAGGCGGATTCTTAGCCACTGCGCCACCAGGGAAGCCCTAAACTTCACTTTCTTTAATTGCAAAATGGAGATGACAACACCTGTTTACAAAATAGAGTGAGTCAAACTGCTTTGTGGACTATGAAGACTATTGTCACTCCCACATGAACTACTATTTCCTCTAGTTGAGTCTACGTGGAACCTGTTCAATCTGATTTCATAATCAGAAATCACGATCACTGTTCTCTTTTGAGAACTGATCTTCTGGGAGCCTCTGGTATAATCAGAGTTAGCAGAGAAGGAATAATCCACACTGCGAGGTTTGCCTCCACCGGAGCCCAGCCTGTTTGATCCCATGATCTTCTGCTCTCTTCCCTGGACTCACCACCATCAGGCAGGCCTGTCACATTAAACTTGCCTCTTTGTGAATTCAGATGGCTTCATCCCATGGCCTTCCCATCCATATGCCAAGACCTGGGTTTGTTTCTCGACATATCCCAAAGTTTTATTTAAAAAAAAAAAAGTACTTACAAGGACTGGGAGGAAACACATGATTTGTCGTTTGAGAGTGTGCTCCTTCCGATGTCAGCATCTAAATGCAAACAAGAGTTAAGGGGAGCAGGAAATGGAAAGGGAGGAGGTAAGGGATAATAATGGAAATCAGTCCAAGCTATTGCCAGCTAAGCACTCAGGGCAGCAGCTAGGTGCTACATTCTATGCAGGATACGGAGCAGAGTCCAGGTGAAGCTTTACATACAATTTATAGTTTGGCTCTGCTCAAGTCACAACAGACTGAATTGGTGACATTATGCATAGCATTGAGAAGGTCAAAGTGGCTACAAATCCAGGTGGAAACACAAATTCACATTTAGTGCAAAGCAGTGAAGGAGAAAATGAAGCATCCTAAGGCAAACAGGGACACACTCTCTACCAAGCAGCAACAAATTACTCCAATTTCTCTCATTCTCTAAATCTCAAGTGCTCTTAAATGACAAACTCTCAGAGTCAAGAACTCTATCTAGCTTTTTTTTAATACCAGAATCAGTACCTAACACAGAATTTAGGTCATAGAGGTTACTCATTAAATGTATGTGGAACTGAAACTTTGCTTCTAACATCTGACCACTATTGCTATTAACCACTGAATGTGAGAAGTCTTCCATGTCCTTAACAAAGTTTCACGGAAAGACTCCCTTCCTGTCCGGTGGCACAGAGGAAAAAAAGAACTTCTCTATGGTTTGGCAACTCCCCGGAGATGCCTGGTAAACAACAAATTTTCATGGAGCTATTCAACATGATCTTTACTAAAGAACTCTCAAACATAATTTTAGGAAACTATGGCAGACTTTCCAAAGTCTATTTCCAAGAAAGAATTTTGAAAAGAATTTCTAATAATGATATGCCTAAATCTCTAGAGACCTCATCTACCCAAATACTTTTAATGGGGAGAATGTGAAACATAACAGTCATGTTCAAGAAAAGCAGATACTGCCTATTCAAGTCATGAAAACAAGATTGTTCTGATAAGTCTCATCCCTCACTTCCTTTGATGCCTAGTGAAAGACCTTTTCCTAATTAAACCTACACAATGATCAATCTACTGCATTTAAGCCCCTCAATAGAGCGCTAAGCTTACATGACATCATTCTGCAGTTGGCCATGAGTAGCTCAATTGTTCTTCATGTTTCCTCTGTATACGTATACGTTTGTATGTACCACTAGATTATAATATCTCGGTGTGAGGAAATGAGATCGTGTCTAATTCTTCTGTTTGGCCCTGAAATACTTAACACAGTGCTCCGTATAACAGCATATTCTCAAATAATATTCCTGAAAAATCAATGTCTTCAAAGCTATAAACACAAATAAGAGAAAAGAATTGAAATCTCTGTTTTCATATGCTCTCTAAGCATAGAAAAACTTAAGATAGCAACAAAATCTTTGACTAGCAAATAACAAATCCTATTTCATTTAACAAAGTTCATGTATATCATATACTCTGTCTGAATTTGCGCCACTCAAATCCAGTTCCCAATATACTGGCTAGCTCTGTATTCCATTCTAAATAGTGCTAGAAGAGAAGAAAAAACTCTAGGCAATAGTAGACCTTCATAGGCCATTGGGTTTGCAACGTTGATCTGAGTAACACTAAACTGCCTTGAATCATACGTAAGTCTTGCCTTGTCCTTAAAATCCTCAAAGAGCTTTGTACATAATAGGTTTCCAAAAAATATTTCCTAAATAAAAAATTGTCTAAAAGCAAAAGGCAAATTTCAGCCTGTTTACGAGTGATAGAAAAGGAAAAACCAGACAAAAATCTTAGACAGATATCTTGAATAAAGAGCTAACCAACATGGTTACTTGAGGGCCAGGCTACAAAAGAAAACATGGCACGCCAGAGAGGAGAGGCGGTTGACAATTCATGGTTCCTGAAAACCACTGTCTTCATAAAAACTATTCAGCAGTTCTTCAGCCTCACAGAGAGGAAGTCTTCTTTTCTTTGAGAGAAAAAATAACACTCTCTCCTCTTTGGAAAATAAAGTCAAGTCACACTTTATCATGTTTCTTCTTTTTTACCAGAGGTGCAGTGATGTCCTAGCTAATCACGAATACTTCCAAGAGTGCAGAAGACTACACGGGTTTGGAAGCGAGGATCTTACCCCAAGAGCGGAGAGGGAGAGGCAGCGCCTGATATCCAAAGGGCCATGACACCTGTCACTGGTCAGTACCATGAAGGCCTCACGGGTTCTAGGCCTCTGCGTTGTGCCCTGCTCACTCCCTAGTCAGTACAAGCAGCTCATTAGGTTAATGTGGCTGGAACACTAGTTGAGGATCTGGACAAAAGTAGACCAGGGTCTAGGATAATTAAGGAGTAAAGAGGCAGAAGAAAGCTACTCAACTGAATGGATTAAACATACCCCAAATGAGAGCACTTGAGAAAGAAGTCTGAGAAGCACTCCTTCCGAATGGAAGTTAACATAATTGTGAAACTTTTTATCAATTCTTTAACTAGAACTGATTTCAAATGTGTCTGATGCTTTAGATAGGATAAAGCTATTACTACTGACTGGAAAAAGTTCAAAAATATAAAGACAAACAACAACAAAAATAATGACAGGTTATAAGAAGAATTTTTGCATGTCCAGATACCAGTATTGGGACGATCAAGGAAGAACTGGTTAAAACCTTGGTACCCTAGCAAAATCTGCACATTTTTAAACAAAATAAGTGAGGCACAAGAATAGAGTCAACTTCAGAATTTACTGGCCAATCTGATGTTGGTTTGCATCCTGTTTTCCTTTTAGCACCTAAGGGGATACCCAACACATCCAGAAATCCAACTCTAATGAATGTTCTGTAACTGCTGACTCAAGAGGAAACACTTTAAAATGGAGAACCACAATTACTCTTGCCTCAGAAGGAGAAAACAATTTATTAAAAGAGGGAAGGTGGGGAGGAGCAACAGATTACTTTGAATTGGATATAATTTTAAAACTTGCCCAGAATATAGTTCATGAACTTTCCTCTTTATATATTGTGCCAGTTTTCAATTTATTGCCTTTCAGCTCCCAACCTGCCCTTCTTTTTGTCTGCTCTGTGATAATGGAGCTGGACTTGAAAACACTGATCTTTTGCCAGCTGGCACAATGTTCAGCTTCGGCAGTAGAGGGCGCTGGAGGGACACTGGAGGAGGAAGGGGTTTCTCTGGCTGCTGGTGCGCTCCCGTAAGAGGACTCCTGTGGTGCAAGTGACTTTCCCCAGGGTAAGCATGGCTTCAGGAGGCTTTGCAGCAGGGTGCCACTGATGGTACTTTTCATAAGCGGCTTCGCTTGGACCTCTGGGAAAGCTTCCGAGCCGGTGGTGCAGGCCTGGCCCCTCCCATGAACCACTTCCCCCAGCACCCCTTGAGTTCTGAGGCACAGCACCCCCTGGGGGCAGCCTCCTCCTGTACCCCAGAGAATGGTTTCCTGAAGAGGGCTGTTGGCATGGCTCCCCTCATGGACAACATGCCAGGACATTCTCTCAGGGCAGTTCTGCACCTTCAGAAAACTCCACCATCCAGCGAGCAAGGAGGTCTGGATCGCAGCCTCGGGGTATGGCCCTCTTCTACCTTTGTTCCTCCCCTGGGGGCTCTATCTCAGCCCTAGGGATGGTGACTGCTGCCTCTATCTGCTATTCCTGTATTCCTTAGAGTTCTCTTTACTCCTTATGAGCCAGTCTCCCATTACTTCAATCCCCCATCAGAGTTAATAATTCTTTATATTAAATTTTCCCTATTCAAGTTATCATGTGGTTTCTGTCTCCTGACTGGACCCTGACTAGGTACATATATGCAGAGATTGAAATTCTAAAAGAAGGAGGATAAAGAAGAATTGATGAAGTTGTAGTGGAAAAGGATGAAGGGAGGAAAAAAACAACAACAAAATCCTAAAACCAAAGACGCTGAAAAGACTGTCTGGAATTGGGACCCCATGAATGATATCATATCAATTTGGCAGACACCATCAGAAGATGCAGATGAAGTGAAAGAAGCCAGACACAAAAGATCACATACTGTTTGACTGCATTTACATGAAATGTCCAGAAAAGACAAATCTACAGAGGTATAAAGATTAGTGGTGGACTGGGACTTGGGGTGGGAATGTAAATTAACTATAAATGGGCGTGAGGGATCTTACTGGGGTGATGAAGATGTCCTGAAACTAGATTACGGTGACGGTTGACAACTTGGTAAATTTACTCAAATTTAGTGAGTTGTACACTTAAAGTGGGTAGATTTTGAAGTGTAATTATTCCTCAGTAAAATAGTTTTTTAAAAAGGGAATAGATGTTAACGAATACAAAGCTTTCTATGAATAAGCTATGATCACAAGTTTACATCCACTTTACTGTGAGGAGGAAGTAACTTTCAAAACTATTTCCTTCATAAACACTTCTGCTCCATAAGGTCTACTTGCTGAATTAGGATCTAAGAAAAATGATTACATTAAGCAAAGTATTACAATTATGCAGAGTATTTATCATAGATGATGTCTGTACTACAATGCTTAAGTAATTTTTCCACGGGTGTTATGGATTCTGATAATCTTCCTCTGATAGAATCCCAAGAGATTCTTCAGTAGCATATATTACTTAAGGTGATCAAAAAGAAAAGCATCTGTAAGCCTCTGGACGTGATCAAGAAGACTGCTAATGAGAAGTATACCGACACTTGTTAGAAGGAATTTGGTCCCCAGTAATAAACTTGATTAAAGACCAGAAACAAATGAAAAAGAACAGAAAGCAATAAAGAAACCTACAGTAGAGAAAGATGAATTGTAAATTATGCTTTCAGAGAAAAACAAATACCGTATGCTAACACATATATATGGAATCAAAAAAAAAAAAAAAAAAAGACACAGACCTACTAGAGAATGGACTTGAGGACACGGGGAGGCGGAAGGGTAAGCTGGGACAAAGTGAGAGAGTGGCATGGACATATATACACTACCAAATGTAAAATAGATAGCTAGTGGGAAGCAGCCAGTGCTTTGTGACCACCTAGAGGGGTGGGACAGGGAGGGTGGGAGGGAGGGAGACGCAAGAAGGAAGAGATATGGGGATATATGTATATGTATAACTGATTCACTTTGTTATAAAGCTGAAATTAACACACCATTGGAAAGCAATTATACTCAAATAAAGATGTTAAAAAAATTATGCTTTCATAATCGGGAATCTGTGTGTAGAAAGTCAAACAAGTCACTACTTTGGAGAGAGGGTTGTTCTGATTGCTTTCCCTCCAAGCCCTCAAAATGTGTTGGGATTGTGGATCATGAGAAAAAACAGTATTTTAGTTGAAAAATATTTCAAATTCTTGGTGTATAAAAAATGCTTTAAAGCTCCCAAAATGGGTGAAGAAAGGATGCTAGGAAGACCAAATAAAAGTATGCCTTATGCAGGGATATTAGCTCGGTGCTTTGTGACAGCCTGGAGGGGTGGGATAGGGAGAGTGGGAGGGAGGGAGACGCAAGAGGGAAGACATATGGGAACATATGTATATGTATAACTGATTCACTTTGTTATAAAGCAGAAACTAACACACCATTGTAAAGCAATTATACCCCAATAAAGATGTTTAAAAAAAAAAAAAAGTATGCCTTATGGTTAAAGCAGACTGACGACTATGCTCTAACCAAGAAGTACCTGACAGTCAGTAAATGCACATGCAAACGATTCTGGTTGTAAACACATCAGAAACCAGTTTAAAAGTGACTTAGGGGAATTCCCTAGCAGTCCAGTGGTTAGGACTCAGCGCTTTCACTGCCTGGGTTTGATCCCCGGTCAGGGAACTAAGGTCCCTCAAGCCATGTGGCATGGCCAAAAAAAACCCAAAAAAAAAACCAAACTAAAAAAAAATGACTTATGATTGTTACTTCTCAAGCAAGAGAAGACTGTTAGAATAAATTACAACAGTTCAGGATTAAAAGGTACCTAATTACTTTTATTTCTCTAAATCTTAATTTAATCTTACACATGTAATTATTTCAAACTCTCGTGGCTGAAAATATTAACCGTTAAAATTAACTGTTAATTAAAATTTTTAATTAATAAAATAATTAACTATTAATCAAATTAATAAATGCCCTGAATTTTGTTGTTTGTGTGTTTTAAAGCCACTGTGAACAGAAAACTACTACTTTTAGTCAACTCCACCTACAGAAAGTCTACTTGTTTGGATCACAAAGCAGTTACTAAGACCAAACATTTGCAGCAATAAATCCTAATTGTATACAAAGTACCTAGAAGAGATAGCTTTCTGAAAGTTGGCTCTGCAAATTCAAAACTCTAAAGAGACTCTAAGCTTCATACCATTCTATCGGACTTTTGCTGTCTGAATGTGTGGCAGTATTTAGCTATAGGTTTGAAGTGTAATTTCTTCACCTGACCACTCCTTTCTTAAACTGTCCACTATCTCCATCAGCCACAATGACCACTTAATCTAAAAGTATCACTGTAGAGAAGGATTAACAAGGATTATCTCAGTGAGGATTGCTGGGGTATCATGAGGAAGAAGAAAATGAGTATCTGAAAAAATGGTACAAATGAACTTACTTAAAAAAAAAAAATAGAGCCACAGATCTAGAAAACAAACCTACGGTTTACCAGGGGGGAAAGGCGAGGAGGGATAAATTGGGAGATTGGGATTGACATATACACAGTACTATATATAAACAGATAACTAATAAGGACCTACTGTATAGCACAGGGAACTCTACTCAGTACTCTGTAATGACCTGTATGGGAAAAGAATCTAAAAAAGAGTGGATATGTGTATATGTATAGCTGATTCACTTTGCTGTACAGCGGAAACTAACACTTTAAATCAACTATACTCCAATAAAAATTTTTTAATTAAAAAATAAAAAAGAATAAAAGAAAGAAAATTAGTATCTAATTTGTTCCCAGTTAGCTTAAGTCCAGTTTTCCCCAGATAGTTCTCCAGACGCTATAGTCCTCATAACCCTGACAGGTATCACAGGTATGTACAAAAGCTGGTGCAAACATTCACACACATGCATGTATGAGCACACCCACGCTTCCAACACAGGCTACCTGAAAACAGCGAGGCCACTGATACTGAGAGTCCATTCTTTGACATGTGAGTCAGGTTAGATCCTTCACTACCATCTGTATAATAATGATTATAAAAGGGTGCCCTTTAGTATTCAGACAGGAAGTAAACTGATGAGAATGACAGTTCTATACCACATGTTCCTGGAATCAGGACTTGACTTTTGCTCCAAAAGATGGCACTGCTTTTAGAAACCTACATCCATAGTTAGGTTCTCACATTGGCTTGGGAGACAGTTACTGCTGCCTCCCCAAACCAGCCTAGCCTTAAAGACCTCATAAGGCAGTGGTTATCAACCAGGGAGGGTATTGTACCCACTGCAGATGTTTGCCAATGTCTGAAGACATTTCTGGTTGTCACAACTGGGGAGAAGGGCGGTATGCTACTGGCATCTAGTGGGTAGAGAAGCCAGGAATGATGCTTAACACTGTACAATACACAAGGCAGTCTATCACAGCAGAGAAATATCTGGCCTAGAGGTTGACAAGCCATGCCTAAGGTCTTTTCCTTTAAGGATTTCTGTCTGAACTGACTAGAGAGTTAGTTGATTAAACACCTCCTCTGGGGCCACAAATGCTGCAACAGTTTCCAGTAGGAGTGCACCTCATGCCACCCCCAGGCAGGCTATTTCAAATTTGGCTCCTTTCAGTCTGAACAACTCCCCCTGGCTCCTTGCTTTGCTGCATGGAACAGACTTTATAGTCAAGTGGACTGTTCCACACTCAGTGAAGTAGCATGTTTTGGATTTACCTTATTATTTCCCACATGGAATTCCAACTGCTGATCCTGAGAGAAAGGGCAGAGCCCTCCTATTTTCTTCTAATTTGGAGATCAAGTCAATCACAGACTGTGGTATAATAAAAAATATATATATATATTTGGTCTCTGTCCAGTTTCCGGCACAGAGCTCCTATAACCTTTGGAATTTCCTGAGTGATAAGAATGTCTGTTATTCATAATGAGCCCCTTTCCATTATATCCAAGCTTAAGTTAATGAAATGACTCATGGGGACACCCAGATAGCTTCAGGATGGGGTTGGCTGCCAGAAGAAAAAGCTATGTAGAAGATCAGACCTTTTAGCCCCACCTCAGGAACTCAGTTGCCACTGGCCAATGATTTAATCACTCATGCTTACTGAATGAACCTTGATAAAGATGAGGTTTGGAAGGGCTTCCTGGTTGGTGAACATATCGAGGTACTGGGAGAGTGGCACACCCTGACTCCATGGAGACGGAGGTTCCTGTGCTCAGTATACTTTGGGACCTTGCCCTATGTACCTCCTCTTCATGTGACTACTCACTTGTATCCTTTATAATAAACTGTAATCGTAAGTATAGTGCTTCCCTGAGTTCTGTGAGTCACTCTAGTGAATTATGAAATGTGAGTAGGGAGTTGTGGGAACCCCTGGGTTGGTAGTTGGCCAGGGAGAAGTACAGACAGCCTGGGAACCCCACTGGCAGCTGGCATCTGAAGAGGGAGCCATCTCGTGGGACTGAATCCTAAATCTGTAGGGTCTGTGCTAACTCCAGGAATTAGTGTCAGAATTGAAATGTAGGACACTCATTTGGTGTCAGAGAACTGGAGAACTGTTGGAAAACCACATACAAAGGAAAAAATGGAGTTTTAAGTGACTATCATTGTTATAAATAGAAATCAGATGCATTAAGGAGAACACAGAAGGAAGACTTCCTGGAGACCTGGAAAAATATGTGTAAATATTGTATTTCTGAATGGGGAAGAAACTCAGCTACCGCACCTGGAGCTGAATGGGTTCTCGAGATTGGCGTAAACAGGATATCAGAGCCTCATGCAGTAAAAGATCTATTTACCATCATGTTACAATGGAAAACTAGACACAAGTCATCTCTATAAGAAAATTAGTCTTGGTTCCAGCCATGGGGGAAGAACTTACATCCCTGAACTGTCTGTTTGGTTTTCCATCTGTTCATTTGTTGATTGCACTGACAGGAAGTTGAAGAAATTTATGATTTTCAGGAATGGATTAACCCATTAATCATGGGTTAACCTGATTTAACACAACTGCCTTTCCAGATAAGAGCCCCTCCCCTTCTCTAAGAAGAAGCTCACAACAAGAGTCTGTGATTCTGCTATGCAAATTAGCGCTGGTTAGGACAGAAAATAAAGCTCCACTTTGTAAACTTGATTTTTTTTTTCCCCTTTTTGCTTTTTCCCTCCCAGTGACTCTTTCTGTCACTTTCTCTTTGGATTATAATAAAGCTCCTTTTAAACACTTTGAAACAATTTCAGTTGTGTTATAGGACACAAGAGAATAGAATTCTAATTTCATGTAGATGTGGGCTAGCTCTGGACTGCTAGTAGGAGGAATTAGAGTGAGGATCTGAGAGAAAGGTGCAACTGAGGAAGAAGCATCATGGTGACATCAATAGCCATCCCACTCCAATGGAATACTTCCTTTTAGTGTTCTTTTCTGCTTAAATTTTAAATAGGCCTTGTTTTTAACAAGAGAAGTTACCTCTTACAACAGCCGACAACATACCATAATGAAGCATAATGAAGACCCCCTGCTTAGGGAAAGCTTCTCAGCCTATGATTCCAAATTAAAAGAAACAGTTAATGAAAGTTCCCTTGAAAAGTGTTCATTCATACCTTGGATTTCAAATTCATCAACCTCATCAGCAGAGCCAGAGTCAGAGAACTGTGCTGAATCACGTGAACTGAACTGGGAGCTGCTGGAAGTGACCCGAAAGCCTGTTACATTAAAAAAAAAAAAAAAAAAAGTAATAAATAGGACAGAAGAGGTCTCCTACTCTTTCTAGGGTCACAACAAAAGGGACCTGGTATGACTTGAACATAGAAGTAAATAGAACCTTGGCTGGGAGTTATGCTGGGGAAATGGAAACTAGCTCTTCTTGCTAGTTTCCCCTTCTTGATTGATCCCCTAAAAAGTTTCATGTGAGCAGAAAGTACCACTCTCTGGAAAGTGAATCTGGAACCAGTGGCCTTAGTTCTCCTCATATCAGAAACCTATTTTTTGGAAGATATTTCTGATATATATATATTTTTTCTTTTTTTTGGAAAATGGTAAATGCTAATTTTAATAACAAAAGTTGTACTAAATGTACATGAAAGTTAAATTAACACAGTATAGAAGAGAATAGCTTAAATAAACTGGAATTCACATATTACAATAGCAAAGTTATGACCAAATGAACTGAAGACATGAACAGTTCTCAAAATTCTCTTTTCGGCCTACTTCCAAAAGAAATAGTCAGGCTTTTTTCCTGTACATAGTTTTGAGCTTTGTCTATACCATATATAGTAGAAAAATAAATTCTTTAGCAACCTAGAAAGTTTATAAAACTCTTAAAGTTTAATTTTCTTTGCCAGACATGCCGATTTTAAACTGACAGCTGTAAATTAAAGCTATATAGACAATAGGTATAATATAGAACAAGTTAAGAATACTACATTTACCAGATTTTTCTTTTTAAAAATTACTGTACTTTCTTAATTCCTGTGTGCTTTGCAATAGGAATAATAGGGACTTTGTTTTCTTAGAAAAGATAATAACATGTAAGAGTATAACACAAATAAGATAATTTATAATATACATGTAGAGGTAGGAAATGGATGAGCTCTAGGACTCTGGTCTGGTAGAAAAAAAGAAAATTAGAACAACATAGAAAATCCTTCTGACAGCAGAGGAATCCTTGGCTTGTGTGTAACATCTCACATGAACATACGAAGACAAAAAAGAAAGCCCACGAGGTACTAAGTCTTATCCCGAAGCCTGAAGAAGCAGGAACAGGCGTTCACAGCCTCACTCACTTCCATACTCAGTCTCCTGGTACACAGGGAGCAGATTCTTGGTGCGGATCTGCTGGCGACGAAGGCGGATCTTCTGCTTCAGTTCCTGGATCTCCCTGTCACTGTCCTCCTCCCCTTCCTCCTCTTCTAGGCACTGGCTCATCATGTTGCACTTCATCAGCTCAATGGCAGCAATCAAGGATTCTGAGATGCTGAAGTGGGCATTTTCCTGGGGAAGAAGAGCGCCAAAAAGGGGCCACCTCACTGATTATACTCTTGGAAAGTAGCTTCCAGAACGCGCATTGCTTTCACTCAAAACACCCAGGGGAAATGCACACTGCTCCTATAATGAAAGCTGATGGCCAGAAAACCTGTTGTACATTCTCTTTGCTCTCGTATCTGGCCATGCCTGGCCTTCCTGTCCCACTTTCCACATAAAAATATGACAGAGAAGAGGTCAGGTCTTTCCTAAAACCATACACTTATATACAAAGTATTAAGGTAAATGTGATGTCTCAAGATAAAGTGCTTTGTAAGCTATAAAATGCTACAGGGACATCATTTATCACATAGCTGAGCCTTAGAACAAAATACAGAAGTTGATTCTGAAGACAGTCTTTACCTAAGGTTCCAGGGTCAAGGAAACAGTAATCACGTGACTAAAATTCAATGTTTCTCTGTCCAGGGTAGCTTCTAAGACAAAATCAGTAATATCTCTGGACTCAGTGAGGCGCATAGGCTCCCAGAAGAGCTTTCCAGAGACAGAACTTGTTGAGCTTATCTTTACTGTGACTTACCTGTACTGTAGTCTACACCCATGTTATTGCTGTGTACCCAAAACCTCTTTAGGACAAATGGCACTGGAGCCCTCAGACCAGATCTCCCAACTCATGGTCTTTTCAGTGGCTCCTTAGAGTCCTCACCTTTTCCAGGTCTGCACAGCTGCCAAAGTCTTGCTCAGACAGGTAGCTGATGAGGGACTGTCCCTCTGATGGTCTTCGGAACATGCCTTCTCCTGAGCACAGGTACTGACTGCCCTCTGTGGGAAAATGGAATGTGGATGTGAAAAGCCCTGCTTTGAAAAGCAAATCTTCTTTACAGACAAGCTTCCTTAAGAAGTCTGATGATTTTAACACTAAAGATGCTCCCAAGCCTTCCCGGATAACAGGTTGGAAAGATGTCTACCTTCTACAGGAATTTCTCTGAATCTCGGAATCCCAGAGCACTAAGCCCCTGGGTTAGAGAATGGTGGAATAAATGGAGAGAGCCTGGAGACAACCCTTTGACCACCTAAATTTAAAGATGACATACTCGTCCTCCTACCCACAAACAAAGAAACCAAAAAACCTGTGCTGTGAGTCAGACAAGGAAAGAAATGGCTCTCCCTGTGGATGATTTCCATGTGGAGCCTATCTTCGGTAATTAAGCCTAGGCACTCAAAGGCCTCTTTTCAAGGTCTCTCTCACCCACTCAGAGAGCCATTCCAGCTGGCTCACCAGACATTCACGGTGATAACACCCACAGCACGAGACAGTGGGACCCCTAAGGCAGAGAGGAGCAAGAGAAATGGCAGGGTAGTGTGATTTCTGGCACAGAGGTTGAAAATAATGAAAGGGAGGGTGAGACTGTATGGTGTGTACCCTCCACAGAGCTAAGATGAGCTACACAGCTCAGAGTGTGGCAGGCATGGGGGGACCAGAGCAAAGACACGATTGCAGCACTGGCCTTCCTAGTACTCACTTACCATACTCCATGTACAGAGAGCTGGGTGTGCTGACTTCACTGCTTTGACCAGAGTAGGACAAGGGGCCTCTCAACTTCGACTTATCACTGCAGGATTCTAGTGTCAGTGGCCACCAGGGAGTAAAAACACACATGCGAGGTGAGCGACACATACATTCCCAACTTTGGAGTTTCAATATTTAACTGCTCCCATTCCCAATGCCCTCCCAAACAGGAGAGAGGTGGCACACCAACAGGGAACAGTCCAAGAATGCAGGAACACATGGAGGAAGGGAGGTGGGAAGTCGGAATATTCTAAGGGGAAAAGAGAAAACATGACCTGGAATGCGGCAACACAGAGGCGAAAAAGAATCAAATCAAAGTGGATTCATGAATTTAGTTCTCTCTTCTTCCATCTTCTTACCAAATGTTCGAGGAATATCAGCCAATTTCTACCCTCTTGACAAACCAATTTAGAAAACAGTCCTCACATGGAGATAAGCACACTGAAACTTTTCTGATACCTTGACACTAGACTTTAAAACAATATCAGAAGGGTTAAACTCACTAAAGAAACACTAGGATATGGCCCTTCTTGCACCTGAAATGTAAATTTGTCATACCTACAAATTTAACCCACTTCTGAACTGGCAGAACAAAATAACACCCAGCAATGTCCTTAAAAGAAGCATCAAGACAATGTTAGAGAAGCCAAGGATGATGGCCTTGTAACCAAAGGGCTCAGCCACAGGGCTGTAGACCCAGCCTTCCTGGAGAAGGAAGGGAGAGGTTTCATGAGAAGCCTGGCAAAGTAGGAAGTGTCTGGGTAGCAGTTTTCAAGGAACATTGAGAGTTGAGAGTGGAGGAATAGCAGCAGGCATGGTTCACAGGAAATGGAAACTGATATTCTCCAAAGGGAAACACAAAATTCCCAGTGCCACAGAAAGAAGAGCAGGCAGCAAAGCAGGTGGGTGCCTGAGAAATGAACAGGATGCGCTGGGAGAACTAATGATTGAGCAGCATCCAACCCATTTCCTTGACAGATGGTGCCAATTTGTCAGCTGCTCCTCTCACAAAAAATGCTACTACGTGGTAAGTGATAACTCTGTGTTCCCTTGGTGGTCCTGGCAGTGGGCTCTGCTCCTCACAACAAACCAGCAGTCACCATGATGCCTTGGTAAGAAACCATGATTTGGAGGCAACTTTGAGGTCCCCAGTCAAACTCAGTGCACAACACAAACTCCAGCACCAGAACCTTATTCCTTTACAGCATGTAAAGGCCATCCAGCCTTTGCTCACTGAGCTCACTACCTCCTGATGCTGCCCATTCAACTGATCAGCTCTAATTCTTAGAATTTCCTCATACTGACTTGAAATCTGTCACCTTACAATTTCTTATCTCCTTAAGAACAACAAGACTCTTCTAAACAAAGGTCTCGCAGACTTGTTCCTCTTTAACCTCTTTGCCAAGCTAACACAGCCAGTGGCTTCACCCATTACCAGGAGGCCATAATTTTCAGTTCTCCCTTACCACTCAGTCTTGCAGACACATTCTAGCATCAATATCTCCATGCATGATGTACCCAGAATGTAACACAATATGCAGTTTGAACAACACTGTGAAAACCAAAGAAATAGACTTAAGTCAATAGAAAAACCTTGTGCAATGGCTGGAATGAGGGGGTGGGGGAGAAATTTACAGGGGAAGGAAGACAGGTGAAAGAAAAAGGAAACAGGGGACTCCAGGAGAGGCAAAAACATGCACTCACATCCAAGACCACAGAAAGAGGAGAAAACACATTCTGGTGTTAAATCATGGAAAATAAAGTAATTTGTAGTAAGTACTCAGTTATAAGAAAAATTCTGCCACTGATTCATCATGATGTCTTAGACAAACAGCAGACCTCAGATTCACCTTTGGGCAATACAGGCTTGACAAGTCTTGATTCTATCTCCTGGATGCTGTTGAGAGACTGAATGAGGCATTTGGAAGTCGTGGGCAAAAAACGTATCATGCAAAACAACGGTATTATTTTACCAACAGGTCTAACCATAACTACAGGACCAGGCCAGCCAGACTTGATTTGACACCAGAATGGAAAAGGAAGTTCGAAACTAAGCAAGATGGTCACAGAGGAACACGAGGAGGTGGGGGCGGGGGCTGGACAGACAGGACTGGCTCCCAAACCTGCAATGGGATCTTCAACTATAATGGTGATACTCCTGGGGCCTCCTGTATGTAGACAGACAGGTGCAGAGGAAAGTCCAGAACACGAGAATAGACAGAGTGAGAAAAAGAGTGTCTTCTTATCTAGCAAAGGTTGGGGCTTAACTCCTGAGAGGGAACCCTAGCGCAGAGGGAAAGATGACTCGTACGAGAAGCTGCACATGACCCACACTCCCTCAGATCCTTCTGCTTAGGTTTTCTCTGGCTCCCTTTTCCAATGCAGGTTACTGCAGTTTCTGGAATCCGCATGGATGCAAGAATGGGGGCAGGGGAGTTTTACATGCTCAAACACCAGTAGCCTGGAGTATAGCAGACTGCTCCAGGAGATGTGAAGTAAGGGTCTAACCCAAGTACTCTTCACATCTACGAAGGCTCATGGGAAGACAGGCTTTGATTGGAGACTTTTGTTCTAACGAGTTCCAATGAGCCAAACCACATTCTTGAGGGGAAAACAGAGACAAAAGTTTGCAATTCAGAAGTTTCAGATGAAGGCCTTTGCTCTCACCTTTTAGAAATTATAAAGAGAAATCAATAGCAGCTCTAGTTGTAAAAGGAAATCTTCCTTTTTTGCTCTTAATTTTTTATACTTTACTTTTATATTTTATTTCTGAGGCTTTTCCACCCAGAACTGGCCTTGAGCACAAATCGGCCTTCTACTTGCTTTTATGGAGATGCTCTTACGAATGAAACCCAATCAAAGCCTGCCAGACACCAACAACCTAGGAAAGATGATAGTAGGGAAATGGCAAAAGCAATGACACCACCTTGGCCATGCCTAAGGTGCTCTCTGCTAGCAGCTGGTGTCTGTGTGAAGGATGTCCTAGTAGCCAAGGCCTCCTTACCCAACTGCCTTTCAACCTGAACTAGTGATGGAGCAGTCAACCCCACTTACTTGTTTACTAGGTCCCATCACCCCATACTCACTACATCTCTAGTCTTAATAAGGAAACCCTAACATCAGTTTGCCTCTCTCTTATTGTTATTATATCCTGACCAAACTTCTCAGGAATCACAGGAAGGGACGGAATTTAACGGGATTATTTTTAAAGATCATTAGTACTTTCCCTCTGTCTGAGAGATGCATTTAAAACTTGGACTGTGATCAGTCACACTATCCTCTGGTGCTAAAGGACCAGTGAAAGAATCCAGGAAAGCATTTACTATTTAGCAATGTATAAAGGAACAAACATAAATATTCTCAGAGAGATTTCTTAGGTATCCACATTATATTACAAACTTCTCTTTTTCATTATAAGCAATATACTCTTCATATCATCAGAAACATAACTTCTCTTTCTGCCATCTGAAGACCCTTAAGAACAAACTCTCCCTTCCACCTGAAATTCAGGAGGCCGCCTTACTGACTACGGGCTGGTGGTTATCATTACCTGGGGCTCCTCTGGAGGCAATGTTGGTATCCGAATGGGAGCGAGTATGGCTCCTCTTTGTTCCACCGGTGACAGTGAGTGTTTGCCCCTCTGAGAAGCTAGACCTGCGAAGGACATTGGACAACTGGCTCTTCCCACCTCCCTCTTGGTCCCCTAGAGAGGAAGCAGCAGAATCTGGCTTCTGGGAGCTGCTGGAGGAGAACAAATTGGAGCTGTTGCTCTCAGCATTGCTGCTGTGACTCTGACAGCTGGCGGTCCGGCCTCGGGGGTCCTGGTTGCCAATGGCCAAGTACTCAGGCCCCTCACTGGCATCACTTGGGGAATCATTCTGGCTGCTGACCCAGGGTGCTTCTAAGGGGCTGGTCAGAGTGCTGGAGCTCATCTCATTTGGGGTCGAGGGGGAGTCCCCGGCCAATGCAGAGATTGGAAGCAGAGGGGCTTGGACGGTTTGATCCTCTGCTGGCGAGACATGTCCTCTGCTTTCTTGAGGTTTCTGGCATGGGCCACAGAGTGAAAAGGAAGTAGATCTTCTTTCTAGGATATAAAAAGAAAGGGAAAGGAAAGGTGAGGTGGAAGCCTTTGGTACCTGTGAAGGGCTTCTCCACAACTAAGGACCAAACTCCCTATTGTTACTGGGTGCCCAGGACACATGGTGTCACGTCAGAAAAGGCTAAATCGTTCAAGGTAAGCAAAAAATTACTTAGAAGCAGCTAAGTCAAAAGCATAAGCTCTTGGGACAGTGGCTTCATTGCTTATTAGTATGCATTCCCCATCTATAACGTGAGCAATAATAATAACACCTACCTCGTAGGACTGTTTTAAGGGTCAAACGAGATAATATATACAAATTGATTACAACAGAGCCTGGCACATGGCAGGCACTGAATAAATGTTAGCTATTATCATTGAAATGCCTTCTGGCAATGCGGATCAGAAACCCAGGGGAAACTAAAAACATCTCTTGACTCTGTTACTTTAATGATGCTACTGAATTATCTTAGGCTAGTTGCTATATACCTCTTTAAGATTTCCATATTAAGACATGAAGTTTGACAAACTGCATCAACCCAAGGCTCCATCTATAGCCAGCCTGTGAGCGCCCACTAAGTCCTCTGCTTTCCAGGCCTGGGGATACATGTCTTGGCTACCCCTTGCTGCCCCCATACCTGAGCCATGATGGGGTATGGATTGGTGGAGGCTAGAGAAGGACCCAAAGTAGGAATGCTGAGCATAACTGGTTGAAGGGGTGTACGTGGAACCAGGCAGAGCTGTCAGGCTCTGGCTCTTTGTCACCAGCAGCGGGCTCTCATGCTTTCTGGCAAACTACAAAAAAAGAACACGTGTCAGAGTCAAGGATAGAGGCCCTCAGAAGAGGAGCACTTAGCACTACAGAAACGCTGGTAGGAACTGGCCTTTGGCAGCAGGCCTGAACTGCAGCCAGGGCCAGTAGATACAGCATAGGTATCCTCTATTAGAGCATACAACTTTGAAACTTCAAAGTCCTGCCATACACCACAGCTTCTGCACTGGAATCCTAGGTGGTCAGACCAGAAATGCTTATCATGGAGGCAGTACAGCAAAGTGCTTAAGACTATGCACTTAGAAGTCAGATACGCTGGGGCTCAAATCCAGGCCCTATCACTTACAAGTTCTTTGGTCCAAACTTTGGGCAAGTGACTTATCTACTCTGTCCCTCAGTGGCCACCTTTATAAAATGAGATTAATGCCTACTTTATAGAGTTCTGAGGATTAAATGAGATGATGCATGTTGGCACGTAGAAAGTATGCAATAGATGGTAAGCAAGAATCGAAATTGAAAAACCAGGAGAGATAGGGGATCCCTCACAAAAGAAATAGGGATTGTGATTCCTTTCTAGTGGAGGCACTGAAATTAGTGACGGGATGAGTGAATTAGAGAGTTAATAATAAGCAACATAAAACAACAAAATATTCTTGGACAAAAATGATCCTGTGTAACATCAGGCCACACTACATCTGACACCCCATCTATAGCCAGCCTGACTCAAAATCATCCCTCCTCTCCCTAGCATTTTATCAAGCCTGCCCTTAAGGAGGTGCTTACTCAGACTACAGATTTTTTTAAGGATTTAAAAAAATAGACACCTCTCTCCTCAAATAGACTTAAGCTTACTTACAAATAGACATTTTACTTCAATAGGTACTTAATGGTACCTCCTCTTCTAAGATTTTTTGGTTTTGTTTTTGTTCTTAATGAAAGCCTTTTGTTCACAATTGCCTAAGTGAAGTAGTTTGCTACATACAGTTACATCATGGTGAGGTCTAGGAGGCCAGAACATAGACACAGATAATTCTTTGGCCACTTTACCATAGATGCATCAATCTGAGCCAGGAGACGAGGGTTGTTCTGTTCCACTGCTTCTAGGCATTGGAGCATGGCCGTGACATGGGAGTCGCTTAGCAGGAAAGCAGTATCTGGGGAGAGAAAACTACTGCAATGATGGAGCCCATTAGGGAGAACTTCAGCCTCCCTGTATGGCCCTGGGAGAAGCTCAGGGAAGGAAAGAGGGAAAAGGCAAAGATGACTTGAGGAGAATCATACCACTGTGGACAGAGGGGATCTAGGGACAAATAATGTACAGAAGAGGCTAAATCATGTGCAGTATAGCAGAGGCCATGACAAGAGGCTTCAAAATCAGAAAGACTCAGATTTGAACTCTGGCTCTGGGTGACTTTGGCCAAGTCACCTAACCTCCTTAAGCTCTGCTTCCCTGATTGGAAAACAGTGGTATCAATACCCAACTCTCAGGGCAGCTGTTAGGTATATATGTATAAAAAATATATAACAGTGATTGGAACATAGGAAACTCTCAGTAAATAGTAGCTTCTTTTACTGATTTGCGTATATGGGAGTAGGGAAATACCTTAGCATAAAGTTTGACTGCATTTTACATAGCAAGTTAGAGAGAAGATTAGATACATGTTTCTGATTAGAATCTCTATGGCATCAAGTAAAAGTATGAGACCCTGGGGTAACAGTGGGTCTATAAAGGAAGAGTAAAGTAGAAGAGAATGAGGAAGTACATGTACCAGTACTGGCTCTGTGACCTCTACCCACCTGTGTAGAATTTTCTGATATACTGTCTATCCCCCAGCAGAGGTCGGAGCTGGGCTGAGAGACAGTGGCACTGCAAGCTATGCTGCAGCCACAGCTCCGCAACGGCACGCTCACTCATGCCGTCAGTGCTGCTCTGGCCATTCTCCTGCAAGTTGATGAACTAGGAGGCAAAGAAGCATGAGTCAAAATATACATCCAGGGCTTCCCTTGTGGTGCAATGGTTAAGAATCCGCCTGCCAATGCAGGGGACATGGGTTCGAGCCCTGGTCCAGGAAGATCCCACATGCCGTGGAGCAACTAAGCCCGTGTGCCACAACTACTGAGCCTGTGCTCTAGAGCCCGTGAACCACAACTACTGAGCCCACGTGCCACAACTACTGAAGCCCGCACACCTAGGGCCCGTGCTCCGCAACAAGAGAAGCCACCGCAATGAGAAGCCCGCGCACCACAGCAAAGAATAGCCCCCGCTTGCCGCAACTAGAGAAAGCCCACGCGTAGCAACGAAGACCCAATGCAGCCAAAAATAAATTAATTAATTTTAAAAATATATATTTCCTGGTAAATCCAGCAAGATTGAGGCCTAATGACCTGAGAACTAAATTGAGACAGGTAAGAGGAGGTAATCAGAGATATTTGCCCTCCAGCTAACATCTACAGGCTATAGAGGAAGGAGAGGGAAGGAAAGAATTAATGTCTCCGCTGCTGGTTTGGGCCACTAGAAAGGAACTAAGCAGTTAAGACGTGATATGCAGCTCCTGAAGAGGACAAAGCTGCTGCGTCTGTCTCTTTATGTTGTAACTCCAAAGAAGCATCTATTCTCAGGGTATTCAGAGGAAGAATGAACTTGACATCTCGGCTTCTCTCAGAGTCCTCTATTTCAGGTAGCCTCCAGAAAAGAATGCAAGAAAAACCTGGGGTAAAAAAATCTAGGAAAAATGCCCCCAAACATTCTTCACCAAAGAGAAATCAGCTGAGCACGTCTTGTTGGCTTTCGCCACAGCATTTCTCTATTTGGAACTTCCTTCTATTGGCTGTTTCTAAAAGCTAAGTCTCATAGTTCAGGATCACTGCAAAAACTGTATGGACAGCAATTTCAGGCAGCTTCTAAGAGGAAATGACTACAGCAATATATTTTACTTTATTTTTTTAAAATTATTTATTTATTTATGGCTGCATTGGGTCTTTGTTGCTGTGCGCGGGCTTTCTCTAGTTGCGACGAGCAGTGACTACTCTTTGTTGCGGTGCACGGGCTTCTCATTGTGGTGGCTCCTCTTGTTGAGAAGCACAGGCTCTAGGTGCGCGGGCTTCAGTAGTTGTGTCACATGGGCTCAGCAGTTGTGGCACATGGGCTTAGTTGCTCCACATCATATGCAATCTTCCTGCACCAGGGCTCGAAACTGTGTCACCTGCATTGGCAGGCAGATTCTTAATCACAGCACCACCAGGGAAGTCCCACGATATATTTTAGAGAAAAAGTTAGAGGGGGGTTTGGTGGGAAAAATAAAGTGATAAGGACAAAAAATCCGTGTAAGAAAATCACTGGGCTCTGGGCTTTTCTCACAAAAAAGGCCAGAGTGACACCTTGTGATTTGGTTCCCTGATCATTTAAAAATAAGTTACTTTTCCAGACATCACCTTGGCAATGAATCTGTCAGTGGGTGTGATATACATGAAACAAGACTGGTCATGAATCAATAAGTATTGAAGATGGGTGATATTTTGGGGTTCATTACACTCTTCTAATTTTGAATGTATTTGAAAATTTCCATAGGCAAGGGTTAAATAAATAAATATATAAATGTGGCTGTGATTGATGTGGAACTAGCTGTGTAACTCTGGCCAAGTCACCTAACCTCCTGGAGCTCTGTGTCCCTGGTTGGGAATCAGGGGTATTATGCTGAGCTGAGAGGATGGAAGTGCTACTCTACTCTCCAATGCTGTTGGGAACATGTTAGGCTCCATTTGACACTGGTCTCCAGAAGCCTCACATTTTTTTTCTATTTGGTGCATCCTCTTCTCCTTAAACAGTCATCAGCATATCAGTCCTACTTACCCCCAACCATTCAGGAAACTTCTTGCCATTTGTCCTAGATTTTGAAAAGCTTCACTCTGGTCCCATATTTGCAAATCTTTTGAAAATAACAAAATTTTTTCAGGTCTTCCCCAGAGGAGGGAAAGTGGCCTAGAACAATGGGTGTGCAAAGCTTATTTTTTAAAGTAAATCATCCTCCCCTCCAAATCAGTCCTACAGGGATAATTTCCTCTCCTCAGTTAATAGGAAACTTGACATATGCCATCCTTCTAGCCTAGGAGACTCTTCATACAGAACATCAAACATCAAAGCCTTGTGGTTACCTTCACCTCTTACCTTCTCCACATGAAGGGCTGAGTGGGGACTGAGCCAGCGGATGTCTTTCACAAATTGCCAGTAATCAGTCTGGCGGCAATACACCTGTTTCAGGGACACAGAAGGTAAACAAATTGTTACCATTTTGGACCACATCTAGTTCTCGTACTGACATTCAAAGAGAGGAAAAAGAAAAGCCTAACTTGGGACTTCCCTGGCGGTCCAGTGGTTAAGACTTCACACACTTCCAATGCAGGGGGCGTGGGTTCGATCCCTGGTCAGGGAACTAAGATCCCACATGCCGTGCGGCACGGCCAAAAAAAAGCAAAGCCTAACCTTCCCTTGCCTCAACAAAGGTTCTCAGCAGCAATAAAAGGAATACATACAGATGTTCACCCTTTTAAAGAATAATTGTTAAAAATTATTTTAATTGTTCTTTTGAGGAGGTAATACAATGCATATGATATAGAAGGCTATATAGTTGGCCCTTGAACAACACGGGTTTGAACGGTGGGTCCTCTTATAAGTGGATTTTTAAAATAAATATATTGGAAAATTTATTGGAGATGTGCAACAATTTGAAAATAACTTGCAGATGAACTGCACAGCCTAGAAATATTGAAAAAATTAGGAAAGTTAGAGATCTCATGAATGCATAAAATATAGGTAGATGTTATCCTATTTTATCATTTACTACCATAAAATATATACAAACATATTATAAAAAGTTAAAGTTTATCAAAACTTACACACACAAACACTTATGGACCATAGATGGTGCCATGTGCAGTCAGGAGAAATATAAACAAACGTTAAGAAGCAGTATTAAATAATTGCATAAAATTAACAGTAGTTAATTTTACGCAATTATGTACTACTATAATAATTTTGTAGCCACCTCCTGTTGTTATTGTTGTGAGCTCAAGTGTTGTGAGTGTCCACTCAAAATGCCGTGTGACACTAATCATCTCTGTATGAGCGGTTCGTCTCTCCAGTAAATTACATACTGCAGTAAAAAGTGACCTTGCCCAGCTCTTGTGTATTTTCCATTGTGTTTAGTGTAATACCAAAGACCCTGAATAACACCAGGGGACCCATACGAAGTGCTACTAGTGATGGTGGGAGTGCTCCCAAGAAGCAGAGAGAAGTCATGACATTATAAGAAAAAGCTGAACTGCTTGATATGCACTGTAGATTGAGGCCTGCAGGTGCAGTTACCCACCATTTCAAGATAAGTGAATCCAGTGTAAGGACCATGGTAAAAAAAGAAAAGGAAATTCGTGAAGCTGTGCCTGCAGCTACTCCAGCAGGCCCAAAAACCTTGTACTTTTTGAGAAATATCTTTTAATCTCATATTGAAAAATTCAGCTTTTATGTGGGTACACGATTGCTATAGGGAAGGCATACCTATGGACTCTAATATGATTCAAGAAAAAGCAAAGTCATTATGTGACAACTGAAAGCAAAAAGAAGGTGGAGGATCTAAATCTAGGGAATTCAATGCCTGAAAAGGATGGTTTGAAAATTTCAGAAAGAGGTTTGGAGAAGCAGCTTCTGCTGACCAAGAGGCAGCAGACAAATTCACAGACACCATTAAGAAAATAACTGAGGAGAAAGGATATCTGCCTGAACAGGTTTTTTTGTTTGTTTGTTTGTTTTAACATCTTTACTGGAGTATAATTGCTTTACAATGGTGTGTTAGTTTCTGCTTTATAACAAAGTGAATCAGTTATACATATACATATATTCCCATATCTCTTCCCTCTTGTGTCTCCATCCCTCCCACCCTCCCTATCCTACCCCTCTAGGTGGTCACAAACCACTGAGCTGATCTCCCTGTGCTATGCGGCTGCTTCCCACTAGCTATCTACCTTACTTTTGGTAGTGTATATATGTCCATGCCTCTCTCTTGCTTGAACAGGTTTTTAATGCAGATGAAAGTGTCCTATTCTGGGAAAAAAATGCCACAAAGGACATTTACTAGTAAGGAAGAGAAGCAAGCACCAGGATTTAAGAAGGAAGGGACAGGCTTACTCCACTGTTTTGTGTAAATGTAGTTGGGTTTATGATCAGAATTGCCCTTATCTATGAAGCTGCTAACCCTCAAGCCTTGAAGCGAAAAGATAAACACCAGCTGCCAGTCTTTTGGTCATACAACAAGAACCCTTTTTCTGGGTTGGTTCCATCAATGCTTTGTCCCTGAAGTCAGGAAATACCTTGCCAGTAATGCAATAAGACAAAAAAAAAAAAAAAAGGGAAATAAAAGGAATACAGATTGGGAAGGAAGAAATAAAACTGTCTTTGTTCACACATGACATGGTTGCCTATGCAGAAAATTCGAAAGTTCGAAAGAATCAACAACAAAAAAATTCCTGGAACTAGTAAGTGTTATTATAGCAAGGTCACAGGATATATGGTCAATATATAAAAGTCAACTGCTTTCCTATATACCAGCAATAAGCAAGTGGAATTTGAAATTAAAAACACAATAATACCATACACATTAGTACTGCCCAAATTGAAATACTTAGGTATAAATCTAACAAAATATATACAAGATCTCTATGATGAAAACTATAAAACTTTGCTGAAAGCTATTAAAGAACTAAGTTACAGAGATAACCCATGTTCATAGATATGAAGACTCAATATTGTCAAGATGTCAGTTCTTCCCAACTTGATGTATAGATTCAATGCAATCTGATTCAAAATCCTAGCAAGTTATTTTGTAGATATCTACAAATTATTCTAAAGTTTATATGGAGAGGGAAAAGACCCAGAATAGCCAATCAATACTGAAGGAGAAGAACAATGTTTTTCTTCAAAAAGGACTGATACTATCTGACTTCAAGACTTACTATAAAGCTACAATAATGAAGACAGTGTGGTATTGGCAAAAGAACAAAGATCAGTGAAACAGACTAGAGAGCCCCAAAATAGACCAATGTAAATATCTTTGACAAAGGAGCAAAAGGCAATACAATGGAGCAAAGATAGTCTTTTCAACAAATGGTGCTGAAACACTGGACAACACTTATACCCATCATGAAAATTAACTCAAAATGAATCACAGATCTAAATGTAAAATGGAAAACTATAACCCTCCAAGAAGATAACATAGGAGAAAACCTATATTGGGTATGGTGGTGACTTTTTCGATACAAGACCAAAGGCATGATCCATGAAAGAAAGAACTGGTAAGCTGGACTTCATTAAAATTTAAAACTTCTGCTTTCTGACAAACAGTGTCAAGAGAATGAGAAGATAAGCCACAGACAGGGAGAAAATATTTGCAGAAGACAAAACTGATAAAGGATTGTTATCCAAAATATACAAAGGACTCTTAAAAGTTAGCAATAAGAAAACAAGCAATCCAATTTAAAAAATGGGCCTTGGGCTTCCCTTGTGGTGCAGTGGTTGAGAGTCCGCCTGCCGATGCAGGGGACACGGGTTCATGCCCTGGTCCGGGAAGATCTCACATCCCGCGGAGCGGCTGGGCCCATGAACCATAGCCACTGATCCTGCACGTCTGGAGCCTGTGCTCCACAACGGGACACGCCACAACAGTGAGAGGCCCGCATACCGCAAAAAAAAAAAAAAAAAAAAGAGGGCCTTAACAGACAATTCACCAAAGAAGATATACAGATGACAAATAAGCATGTGAAAAAAGGCACCATATCATGTCATCAGGGAAATGCAAATTAAAACAACACAATACACATCTATTAAATTGGCCCAAATGGGAGGAAAGAAAAAAGGAATGGCCCAAATCCAGAACAATGCCTATATCAAATGCTGGTGAGAATGTGGAGTAACAGGAACTCTCATTCATTGCTAGTGGCAATGCAAAATAGTATGGCCACTTTGGAAACCAGTTTGGCAGTTTCTTTCAAACTAAAGATTCTCTTACCATATGATCGAGCAATTTACTTATGTACACACAAAAACCTGAATAAAAACTTGATGTCAAATTAAGTAGGGACAAGACAATTTCAAAGTTGGGGGGAGAAAGCCTAAAAATGTAGAACATTTTATATTCATATTATAGGATCTTTAAATTGCTAGTCCAACATAAAGAAATGGAAGCTGGAAGTCCTGTATGATGTATTATGGGTGTAATTTATACAAGAAAGATGATATGGAACTCCATCAGTGGATTCATTCTCACAGAAGAGGTTTGACCCTATACCCAAAGACTCTTAATTAAATGTAAATTTAGGATGTTTTAAATTAAAATAAAATGTTTGAGTGATGTATTTTAACAATGTTTAATTTCCCTCAATCAATCAGCTAATGATCCAGGTCATGTGTAAGGCTTTTCCTGTCCTTATCAAAAAATGATATGGTAGTTAACAAGAAAATAAAATGATAAATAGGTGAATGTTGGGGGAAAAAATCAACAACAAAAGATGCTATATGAGTGAGGGACTACTCCTACCGTAATGAAAAGCTACAATAATTAAAACTGAGTGGTGATAGCACACAAATAGAGAACAGACCATAACAGAAATCCAGAAATAGATCCATGTGCCAAGGAAATTAATTATATTCAAAATAAATTACAGATAGAATGGTTTAAATGTAAAACATTAACCCAAAAAAGTAATAGAAGAAACCATGGAGAAACAGTTTTAATAATCATATAGTGGGAAAGCCCCTTCAGAGCATCAAACAGAGCCCAGAAGCCCTAAGAGAAATGATTAATTTGACTTACTAAAAATCCGATATTTCTGTATAGTAAAAGCCACCATAACAAATGTATGGACACCAAGTGGGGAAAGTGGCAGGGGGGTGGTGGTCCTGGTGGGATGAATTGGGAGATTGGGATTGACATATATACACTAATATGTATAAAACGGATACCTAATAAGAACCTCCTGTATAAAAAAACAAATAAAATAAAATACAAAAATTCAAAGAAAACAACAACAACAACAAAAAGAAATGTCAAAAGACAAGCTAGGAAAAAATATTTGCAATACACATTACAGACAAATAACTAATTCCCTTAATAAATAAAGAGATTCTACAAATCTGTAGGAAAAGATTGACAATCTAAGGAAATGGGGGTAATACAGGGAAAAGTTCACAGAAAAATACTTTTTTTAAAAAATTAATTTATTTTTGGCTGTGTTGGGTCTTCATTGTTGCACGTGGGCTTTCTCTAGTTGCAGCGAGCAGGGGCCACTCTTCATTGCAGTGTGCGGGCTTCTCATCGCGGTGGCTTCTCTTGCTGCGGAGCACAGGCTCTAGGCATACGGGCTTCAGTAGTTGTGGCATGTGGACTTACTAGTTGTGGCGCGTGGGCTCAGTAGTTGTGGCTCACGGGCTCTAGAGCGCAGGCTCAGTAGTTGTGGCACATGGGCTTAGGTGCTCTGCAGTATGTGGGATCTTCCCGGACCAGGGTTCGAATCTGTGTCCCCTGCATTGGCAGGCGGATTCTTAACCACTGCGCCACCAGGGAAGTCCCAGAAAAATACTTCAATGGCTCTTATAAACATCTTTCAGAGTAAAAGAAATGTAACTTTTCACTTATTATGTTGGCGACAGTTTAAAGTTTAATAACACCCTATATGGTCAAGGGTATGAAGAATCAGATCCTCTTATACAATGCTGCTGAGGGCGTAAACAGACATAACTTTCTGGAGGGCAATTTCGCCATAGCTATCAAAACTGAAATGCATATACCCTTTAGCCTAAGAATTCTACCTCTAGGAGTATCCTATGGTAAAGGGCAAAATGACCTATACTCAAGGTTATTCACTGTACCATTGTTACTAAGAGCAAATGCTTGGAAGGAATCTAAATGTTTATTACCAGGAGACTGATTAAATAAATTATGGTACATACATAGAATGGAATATTATAAAATGACAGCTGTAAAAAAGAATGAAGAACCTCTTTATGTAATGGATTGCGATGAATTACAATCACATCAAGTGAAAAAAGCAAGGTGTAGAGTAGTGTTTATAGTATGCTTTTATTTGTACGAAAAATCAAAAGGTGTAGCAAAGAAAATTATTCATATTTGCTCTAATAAGCATAAAAATTCTCTGGAAGGAAACTAGAATACAGTAGTTACCAATGGGATTGGAAGGAAACAAGATATTTACTGCATGTGGTTTTACACATTTTGTTTTTTTAACCATATAAATGTATTGTTTATTTTCTCTCTCTTTTTTTTTTTTGGCCACGCAGTGTGGCTTGTGGGATCCTAGTTCCCAGACCAGGGATTGAACCCGGGTCCTCAGCAGTGAAAGCGTGGAGTCATAACCACTGGACAGCCAGGGAATTCCCTGTATTGTCTATTTTAATTAAATATTTTAAAGCAAGTTACAGAGTAATAGATACAGTATAATCTTAATATTTTAAAAAGCATGTACATGCATAGAAAAATATAAGAGAATCTACCAAAATGTTAAAGAGTGATTGTTATTACTTGATGTTGAGATTATGGGTAATAACTTAACTTTCTTCTAAACTCTTTTGGTATTTCCAAATGTTCAGCAAATAAAAACATGTATATTACTTATATATTCAGAAAAGAAATACACAGGGACTTTCCTGGCGGTCCAGTGGTTAGAACTCCACACTCCCAATGCAGGGGGCACCGGCTTGATCCCTTGTCGGGGAACTAAGATCCTGCATGCCACACGGCACGGCCAAAAAAAAAAAAATATATATATATATATATATATATATACCCAGAGGTCTTTTTTGTTATTATTGCTATTTTTTAAATTGGGCCATCTATACTGCAAAGTACAGGTTTCTTCTTAGTGTTGGAAAAGGTGGGGGGAATCTTTGCACTTCTAGTCAGCTGAGAAATCTCAGGGATTAAGCGTCTCCACGTTTCTAAGCAGCAGAGAAGGAGTTATCAAATATACCTTGCGTTATGGAAAGACTAAAAGGTAGCCCAGATGCAGGATGTCAAGAAAAACGAGATCCCTCTAAGAATATGGTCACGATGTTAGAGTTTCCTAAGGCCCTGAGTGATTTAAAAAAATACACTTCACATTCCATAACACATCCTTAGGAAAGCACGGAAGAGATATGGCCAGCATGAATCATTGTATCCCTTCCCCCCTCCAAGAGCACAACACCCAGAATAGCTTCCTGATGACACAGCAGCCAGAAGCCTTTGAAAGCCTTAATCTTTAGGGAGGAAATGAAAAGGAAAAACAAGTCCTTAATACAGACTTTAATTTTTAGGACTTTACAAGGCAGAACTGAGCAGCAGTGAAGTTGGTATGGATCTTTTGTCTTTAATTCTTCCCACTAGAGCCTGTAGTTGCTAAATGTATGTGTGTATGACAGATTTGTCTGGTTTGCTCTGCTTGCACTTACTAACACTACTGCTGTTTTGTAGGTGACCGTATCCTTTAAGAGTTTTCATTCTGCTGACCAGGTACCTTCACAGATCTTATTACTTACTAATAACAATAATATTGTGTTGCATTTACCAAGCATCTTCCACTTGGGAATTCCACTGACTTTACTATTTCATCATGACACATACTCTGTTTCTGGCACAGATGGTAAAACTGTCTTCAAATATAGTAAAATGATTACTCCAGATGACAATGTAAAATGAGTAATAGAGCCAAGAAAAGAACTTTTTTTGCTATCGAGATGAAAGTACTTTAACCACTAAATGACAGTGCCTCTAATCTGGTAGCTATCTTGGTCATCAGTCTGGGAAACTTGTATTGGGTTTTTGTAAAACATGTTGGCGTGGTTCCCAATTCTGGCTTGGGAGACTGAGTAGCTGGCAATGCCACAGATCAGTATTAAAAATATCAGGAGGAAGGGCAACCTTACGAGAGAAAGTAAGTTTGTTTTGGGTCATGTTTTACTTGGCCTATAGGACAGCCAGCCAGATGATAATGTATAGCAGATAGCCAGACAGCTAGCCTTGTGGATCTGAAGTTCAGCAGAGATGTCTGAGCTGGGGGTAGGTAATGTATAGGTGACAGTTAAAACAACGCAAGTGAAGGAGACTGTTTCAGAAAATGTACAATGTAGTAAGAGATAAGGACATAGCACTGGACTGTATTAAAAACTAAAATCCGAGAGGAAGAGATTCCACGGACATAAAATAAGAAAGAGTGATCACAGAGGTAGGAGAAGGTCTCCATAACATTGGAATAATGCAGTACAAGGCAAGGTCTGATGATGTTCAACAGTGAAGAACACAAGACAGTGCTCAAAGGGGAAATGTTCACTGGATTTGGTTACATGGACTTACTTAAACTTCAGTAGCAAGAACAACAGTGGTAAGGGCAGAAACCAGATTGCAGTGGGTTAAATTATTTGTTTTGTAAATTCCAGTGGTCATATTTTTTTCATAGGACAACATGTAACTTGAAGCTTAAAAAAAAATGAGGGGAACATTTATTATTTCCTATGTACCACGAACTGTGCTAGGCAAATTTGTATGCCATTTCATTTAACCTTTCCATCAAACATTATGATATAAATAATATTATCAACATTTCTAACGATGAGAAAAGGCTCAAAAAAGTTAATATCACCTAATAGTTAAGACTGACAGACAACTTACTACACTTTCTAAAGCTTTTTCAGGTATTATCTCATTTAATTCTCACAACAATCCTATGAAGTACATACCAGTGTTACCGCCTCATTTTACAAATGAGGAAACAGAAGCACTAACAGTTATGTAACTTACCCAATACCACAGAGTGGTGAAGCTGAGATAAAATAAGAGCAGTCTGACTCAAAAATCCATAATTATTACTACCATGTCATTTTTTCGCCCAAGGACCTGAGCAATTTCAATCCAGGTTCTGTCTGATCCCAAAGACTTCTGTCAGTCTACTATACAATGTTGCCTCCAAATTCCTGGAATGAGGTTTTAATAATGATGACCATTAAGATTCAGCTCTTTAAAGGATAAAAATTTTCCCCATATCTTCAAAATTCTTTAGAAAGAGGGCCTCATTTTTAGAACTTACTCTGAATAAAGAAAATCTAACCTAAGCCAACTTTTCCACTGAATTCTGAAAAAACTCAACAAGAACACTGGTTTAAAGAGTTTGTTCAGAGGTGATATATACATATTTTTAGAAGGGAGGGTACCACATTAAATCCTATCAACTATGAATATCTTAATACCAATTAATTTTTTCCAGTGTGACTGCTAGTTGAGAATAAATTCTGATTAAAAAAGAAAGACAAGCCTGGCTTAGAAAAAAAGAGTTTCAGGAAAGAATACTAAGGCCTTACATGGGAACAGCATGAGTGTTTGGGAACACAAATTATGCACATATTTGTGAGGTTTGATTTTTAAAAAGTAGGAGGATCAGATCCAATGACCCACTTGACAATTTTATCCAGAACCAAACCTTATTTAAAACATTGGAGTAACTGCCATTGAGAATTAAAGCAGAAACCATCGAGTGTTAGTAGATTCCACTCATTTTTAATACTCAAAGCTTATTAGAGTGTTTGAGGATACTTAGGAAAAGAAACAACATCAATAAAGTTTACATGGAAGAAAACGTAAGCTATAACTAAAACTATCATTCACAAGCGTCAACAAGTTATCAACAAAGTGATGCTCACAGGATAGTCTAAAAATGACAATATCCTGTAAATATTTCTCAGATGTGTCCTAGGATACTCTTAAGAGGAATATCTCAATGATTCATCATTGTTGTCCTTATCCTCCTCCTTGTTATCGTGTATTATAGTCTTGCTCTCAAGGGCTCAGAGACTAGTTGCCTTCATCTTCTCCCTGCCAACAACTTAATGCAACTATTTCTTTCCAACAAGTGATTCAGCCAATCTGGCACAAAAAGAAAAGAAGGGATCTACATACCTGGTCATGGATGAGCCCATGATAGAGGATGCTCTGCATGTCCCTGCAAAGCCGCTCCAGGCCACCATACTTGGACCAGACATTGGGGCTGTTAGCTGATACTAAACCCTCCACAGTAGTCTTCAAATTACCCAGCAACTGCCAGTGCTCCCTCCTGCAAGGGCATCAATTATACCAATGGTTAGTTACTTTGTTGTACCTGATCCTGACCACGTCAAAGAAAGTCTAAGACAAGAAGCCTCCTGCCCCACATCCTAACATTCTCTCCCCTATTAATTTTTTTACTTGAGTATAAGACCCAATTCTGAGAGGACTGAAGTTGTAAAGAACACTAAGATTTTGTTTTAAAACCCTCATATTGGGACTTCCCTGGTGGTCCAGTGGGTAAGACTCTGCGCTCCCAATGCAGGGGGCCTGGGTTTGATCCCTGCCTGCATGCTGCAACTAAGAGTTTGCATGCCACAACGAAAAAGCCCGCATGCCGCAACTAAGAGTCTGCATGCTGCAACTAAGAAGTCCACATGCCGCAACTAAAGATTCCACATGCTGCAACAAAGAGCCGGTGCAGCCAAAATAAATAAACAAACAAACATATATATATATAAAGCCCTCATATTTACATGGCATATTGTGCTTTGTAAGGTGATCTTCATCTACTATCATTCCATCCTCATGTAAGTAGCCTATAACCCTGTTTCTAGGAGTGTGACCCATTAAGATCCGTTTCTGGACAATGACATTACATGGGCAATATATAAAGAGATGAGGGCATTTGCTGAAAACCAGAAATCTTTTGTCAAAAAAAAAAGCCAAAAACAACTTTTTATTAACTATATTTCCAGTACTAAGTACATATATCTGTACACAAATATTATGGATAAGAATACAAATTGCCCATGATTTTCCCCCTTAATTTTTTAACCTAAAATTGAGACAAAATGTTTTAAGCTTGCACTGAGCCACTTAGGACGTGTCCCCAAATCAATCAACTATTGGCTTATTCCCTTGGACCATGTGAAATACTTTAGTGTAAAAGTTTGAAAATTATTGCCCTAGATGATTGTCAAGGTTCCTCTCCAATTCCCAGCATTTTCTCAACACAGCTTCCAACCCAATAAAAATTCAAAACCAGCTGCAATTGAGTGAAAAGAACTGGATACACAGAATCAAACTGGATAAGGAAAACATGAGGAGATGAGGTGTCAAACTCCTTCTCTTGGGCCCCCAATTGTTATGTTGTACACTTTATCTAGCCCTTTCATTTCTTATTAGAATACTACTCTTTCCTCTTCAAGGACAGTCCTGGGAATGGTTATAATTTCTTCAAGGAACTTTCACTATAACTATTTTAATATCATTTAAATACCTATTAGGGTAGGAGGGCTCTGAACTGGAATCCTTTGTAACTCTCATACATTTTGTACACTTTCTGAGCCACTTTTAAAAAGTGGATGAAGAGAGTAAAGGCAGACAAATAAAATAAAATGAATGAAGCTAGGTCTGGTACAGGAGTATTATCTAAAAGGGGAAAGCCAAATGGATCTCACTCTGGTTTTCTCCTCTGAAGGCTTTGAGACCAAGAATTTATTCAAACTGGGAGACACCAGGCTTTTTTAACCTTATATCATTAAACATTTGAGTCTATTTCTTTTTTCCCCCCAGTTTTATTGAGAAATAATTGACATATAACATTATATTAGTTTAAGGCATACAACATAATGATTTGATTTATGTATACATTGTGAAATGATTACCAGAGTAAGTTTAGTTAACATCTATCACCTCACACAGTTATAAATTTTGTTCCTTGTGATGAGAACTTTTAAGATCTACTCTCTTAGCAACTTTCAAATATACAATACAGTACTGTTAACTATAATCCATGCTGTACATTACACCCCCAAAGTGACTTAAAAGTTTGTACCTTTGGACCACCTTCACCCATCTCCCCCACCCCCTCATCCCCTGCCTCTGGTAATCATCAATCTGTTCTCTATTTCTATGAGTTTGGGTGTTTTGGATTCTACATATGTGAGATAATACAGTATTTGTCTTTCTCTGTCTGATTTATTTCACTTAGCATAATGCCCTCAAGGTCCATCCATGTTGCTACAAATGGCAAGATTTCCTTCTTTATGGCTAAATAATATTCCTGTGTGTGTGTGTGTGTGTGTGTGTGTGTGTGTGTGTGTGACATTTTCTTTATCCATTCATGTGTCAATGGACACTTAGGTTGTTTCCATGTCTTGGACATTTTAAATAATGCTGCAATGAGCATGGGGGTGCAGATATCTTTTCAAGAGAGTGATTTTGTTTCCCTTGGATATATATCCAGAAGGAGAACTGCTGGATCATACGGTAATTCTATTTTTAATATCCTGAGGAAATCTCCATACCGTTTTCCATAATGGCTGCCCCAATTTACAATACCACCAAGAGTCCCTTTTTCTCCACACCCTCGCCAACACTTGTTGCCTCTTGTCTTTTTTTTTTTTTTTTTTGCGGTACGCAGGCGTCTCACCACTGCGGCCTCTCCCGCTGTGCAGCACAGGCTCCGGACGCGCAGGCCCAGCTGCCATGGCTCACGGGCCCAGCCACTCCGTGGCACGTGGGATCCTCCCAGACCGGGGCACGACCCCGTGTCCCCTGCATCGGCAGGCGGACCCCCAACCACTGCGCCACCAGGGAAGCCCGCCTCTTGTCTTTTTGATGCTAGCCCTTCTAAGAGGTGTGAGATGATATCTCATTGTGGTTTTGATTTGCACTTCCCTGATGATTGGTCACGTGAAGCACTTTTTCATATACCTGTTGGCCATTCCCCTGTTCTATTTCTAACCCAGTCCTGGGAGATATTTCAAGATAACTAAGATGCACACAGGACTGAGGTGGTCATTAAAAGGCCATTTATTGTTGTACTGTGAAACTGCCATCACAGAGGCCAAATGACTGCCAGTTTTTGCTTCAGGGATTCTCCATCTCCTATGCTTCCTCAGGAAGCATCTGGCCTGTTCTGACTGATACAGTTTTACATTCCAACAGGTTACAATCAAGTGGTGCAGGCCTGAGAGCCAGTCTGGTTCCTCAAGTGACTCTGCATATCTGTGTTCTGATTCATTCTGTATTGATCTTACAAGGTTAACTGTCAAAGAACATCATAATAGGGCTTCCCTGGTGGCGCAGTGGTTGGGAGCCCGCCTGCTGATGCAGGGGACACGGGTTTGTGCCCCGATCCGGGAGGATCCCGCATGCCGTGGAGCGGCTGGGCCCGTGAGCCATGGCTGCTGAGCCTGCACGTCCGGAGCCTGTGCTCCACAACGGGAGAGGCCAAAAAAGTGAGAGGCCCGCGTACCGCAAAAAAAAAAAAAAAAAAAGACACAAAGAACATCATAATAAATCCTGAAAGTACACACCAAGTACCCTATCATCCTAGGGCTTTGATTCCAAAATTTTACAAAGAGCATTGAAACCCTAGAAACCTTGAGCATTCAGATCTATTAACAACTTCTGTACAAACTAAAGAAATTTTCTTCCCCAAAATGAAGTGCCCTTGAGATACCACAGCTACAAAAGAAGGTGGCTCTTACTCTAAGATGTACCAAACCGACTATATTTGGTATATGCTCATATAGATGAAAAGTAAACTTTAAAAAGTTTTTTTTAATTAATTAATTTATTTATTTTTGGCTGCATTGGGTATTCGTTGCTGCGCGTGGGCTTTTCCCTAGCTGTGGTGAGCAGGGGCTACTCTACATTGCGGTGCGCGGGCTTCTCATTGCAGTGGCTTCTCTTGTTGCAGAGCACAGGCTCTAGGCGCATGAGCTTCAGTAGTTGTGGCACGCAGACTCAGTAGTTGTGGCTTGCGGGCTCTAGAGCACAGGCTCAGTAGTTGTGACACACAGGCTTAGTTGCTCCACGGCACGTGGGATCTTCCCGGACCAGAGCTCGAACCCGTGTCCCCTGCACTGGCAGGTGGAGTCTTAACCACCGTGCCACCAGGGAAGTCCTAAAAATTTTTTGATTTACATAGCTAGTTTGTTTAGTGTCTTTACTTTTTAGGATCCTTTACCCTAATGATACTGTTATCATTTTCAGAGAGCTGAAATACTAAGTTCAACTGAAGCCCATACACAATGGCTGGATTAATCCATTCATACCTGAATCTTAGATGCAAATAAATAGATCACCATGAGAAATAAAATATCCCTCCTCATTCTTTACCCAGATTGTTAGCAAGTGAGGTCAGTCTTTCCTAGGCTAAACCTGTTTGGTAATAATTATTTGGATTGTATCATCTTGCATTCACATGTAACCTTCATCTGGGCACAGGCAAGGACTATATTAGGCTCAAAGCAGCCCTTTGTATGGCCACTTCTGCAAGTATACAGAGTGCTCTTCTTTAACCACCATAAATTAAAAGCAAGTCTTTCTAAGCATATTACCCTATATCAAGGAAGAACTAGGCTTGAGTGGCAAGGGACAGCATAATCCATCTCTACTTGAATCATATTTATCAACAAACAGCAAAGCCAATCTCAGAATAAAGTCCTGCCAATTTTCTTTTGGGAGGATTTTGACTACATTCTTTGAAGAGGAACAGGCATTGCTTAAGCAACTCAAATAAGCATACCCAAGGAAAAAGTTTCCCTAAATGCCAACTCAGTCTTAAGCTTGCCAAATCACAATTAGAAGTAACACTCAGGTTAAAACAGTAAAGTTATAAGCAAATGTTATTTTTTAAAGAAGTGTTATACCATATAACTAATATAAAACTAATAACTAAAAATAAGTGAAATCAATAGTAAATAAATAGTAAATACTGTGCAATTGTAAAATGAGATTCAATGCATGAAATATATATTGGCATATCTTCCACCCCCAAGACTCTTTTTAGTAATAAAAGGAAACAGCTTCAACTTATTAGCATATCCCATCTACAGTATGCAAGTTATCTGCATTGTAATATGGTATCTACCTGAGACCAAAGTTGAAGGTCAGGTTGTTCCAAGTCAGGTAATGATTTGATCCCTGAAATGTGAGGAGAGGTATGTGATACCCATATGTGGAATACCATGAAACCAATAAAATTTTTGATTAGGAACAATTTCCAAAGCTAATGAAAGTATGTAAAAGTATAAAAAACAGAATGTAAAATTA